GCTTGATTTTATTATGTTGTTGTTGTTGAGACTTCTGTTGTTGGGCTTGTTGCCTTATTTGGTGAGCATGGGGATTGTCCATGCCACATTGGTTTATGTTGTTGATTAGATTTGAGTTGTATAAACTATTAGGGCTGTCCGGCTTACGTGTAGTAGTGTCGTGACTAGAGACTCAGTTAATGATCTTAATTATGTTATGAGGTTATTTCAGTATAGATGTTTGTCTTTTGCATTTACATACAGGCAATATTTTGGAAATGAATTAAGTAATTCAACTTGGTAAGAATAATGACGTCATAAATGAAAAGAAAAAGAATATTCCGCAATTAGGCTTAATACGATGATATGATAACATTATCGGATATATACGGGGTGTTACAAACCACATTTCAGGTATTGCTAATGGTGCTGGAGTATCCCTGGGCAAGAGGTGCGAATAGGTTTGTAGATCATTGGTATTTTGGACATGCATATGTGGATGCTATGATATATTTTGGATTTGTATATTTGGTTCATTATAGACTTAGCACATGAACATAATTATGTAATGTTATTTTGGATGCATATCTTGTAAGGGTTTTGTACATGTGATGTTGTTTGGTGTAAGTCCACATTTTGTTTGGGACATTAGCCAGTTATATCTTGGGATATTTTGATGTAATATATAAATTATGTCTCATTGAGAACTTGGTGGTGTAATATTGTAAATTATGCATGATGGAAGGACTTTATGCCTACTATGACATTGAGAGACTTTATATGGCTATGTAAGGCATAATGGCCAAGTTGGTGTAGTTGGGATTGTATGACGCAAAGAGGAAATTACATGATAATTTGGGAACATAGATAACTTAATGTTTAAGTAACCAAATGGATAATAACTTGTGGAAAAAGAAAGGATCATAATATGACAATTGTTGATGGATGAAAGTTCACCAAGTTTGTTGGGTCTATGGTTCCATTCTATGTCAATTAGGTACCAAGATTAGATTAGATAACCTTAGGTTGGAAATGCAAAGTGACAGTGCCCATTTTTCTATAAGGTCTAAGATTTACTTCCATTTTAAGAAAATCATAACTCACCAAATTCTCTGCCAAATGGGACGTGTGAGGTACCAAAATAAAGCTTAAGATGTCTACTCTTACATCCTAAAATATAGGATTTTTCTGGGCTGGAATTCATTCCCAAATTTTGAAATAGTGTGCTCTGCTCAGATTTGTAGCAATGCTGCCAACTTCTGGTCAGTCTCTTTGATCGATCGTATCTCATTCGCTCCTTAACGAAATAGGGCGTATCATATATCAAATTAAAGCTCTAGAAGTCTGATTTCTTGTATAAAACTTTAGGAATAAACTAGGCAGTGAGACTTTTCCAGTTTAAGTTTAAGTTTGTTGCCCTGTTTCCCGGTAGTCCGGTTTTAAGCAGTTGACTTACATCGAACATATCTTGAGTTGTACAAATTCAATTGAGGCTTAATACGCCGTTGGAAAACTCAAGAGGTATATTTTAACATACTAAAAAAAATAGAAATTTATGGTCAGGTAGATCATTCCCAATTTAGGAAAAGGTAAAGATTGTTAGTGTTGAACATGGTAAAATGGTAAATTTAGCTTTGTTGGTTTATGGGGACTACATGATAATAACTAATAAGTAATGTATGATATGTATGAGGTAGATTTAATTATTCTACAATTGTGTATGAGTTATAATTATAAATTTGAATGTGTTAAATACAAAACCGGTTTTAAAACGAAAATATTTATTAATCAAAAAGGAAAAAAATTTACTGTATTTTAATTTAACTGTTGTGATTGTAATTGTACTTAATATCATACGTAATGATAATATACCGATATACAATGGGTTGTTACAAATAAGGTCCCTTATGCATTTCTATGACCCAGGTGGAAAAGGAATTGGCATAAATATATAATTGATTTTGAATCAAACCCTAATAATTATCCAATTTTTGTCTCAAACTGTTATTCTAAATTATAATATGAGAAATACAGTTCTTATTTTATATGTTGTATGAAATAAATTTATCTTACGAACACAAAAAACAAATAAATGAGATATTTCTTTTTCTTCTTAGTGGGTTCCACTTTTTTTTGAGTGTGTATCAAATAATTTATCTCATGCAATATAATAAATATCTTTCTTTATTTTATGCAACATGATATATATATATATATATATATATATATATATAAGCAGGATATTCTTACACCAGTGTAAGAGTTAGAAGTTTTACACTCAATCTTGATTATTGATCAACTTGTATCCAATGACTCACATTACTAAAAAATTAAAACCATTAGATATAAGTGAGATCAATGGTCAAGATTAAGAGTGTTACTTACACTAGTGTGAAATGATCCTGACCTATATATATATATATATATATATATGAGAAAAAATTTTATTTACAAATTCTTCCAAATCAAACTATATATATCGTGCAATACACACTTAAGTGTTTGTATTCTCAGGAATATATAATGTAGTTTGTAAGAGTTTGTAAATATAACCATTTCCATATATATTTTACCATATATGTATGGTAAAATATTTTCTCATGTTGTAGGAGAATTGTCTTCTTCTACTAGTGATCTTTCGATTTTTATGCAATATTTTCTTTTATTTATTTTTTAATAAATATGGGCCCACACAAGATATGTCTATAGTATGAGAAATTACTTTACTAATGCATGAGAAAATTGAAATCCTATATATATATATATATAAAAGTTTGAGTGAGGCAAAGTTTGGGTGAGGCTTCTTTTAAAAGTTTTTGTTTAAATTTCAGTTGGACAACAACCAAAATGTCACACTAATTCATAAAAAATTACCTAAATGTCACGAACCAAATTTTTTTTCTCCAAAATGCCACGTCACCTAACTCGCTACAACACCTGGTGAGTTAGGTGTGGACACGTGGCAGCAGGTTCATTGCCACGAAAGTCGCTACACAGCGCAACGAGATTACATGGCAGACAGCGTGTCAAACTCGCTATGTTGAATAGCATGTTACGTGTCTAACACGTGTCAAAATCGCTATGCTGCATAACATGTTACATGTCAGCTTTTCTGACACGTGGCCATACAAGTTGTGATGCATAGCATAATGTGTAAGTAGCCTAGCAGTCCAGCGTTTTTAGTCTAATAAGTTGATCACTCCTAAAAATAATTAATTAACAGTTCTAAAATAATTTAAATTAATAAAAGTAAATTAAACTAAATTAATTAACAGACATAAATTAAATTAAATTGATTAACACTCCTAAAATAGTTTTACCTTAACATAAACTAAATTAAATGAAATTACTTAACATTCCTAAAAATAATTAATTAATAGTTCTAAAATAATTTAATTTAATTTAAACTAAGTTATACTAAATTAATTAACAAACATAAATTTAATTTAATTCATTAACACACCTAAATTAAGTTAAATTACTTAATAGTTCAAAAAAATTCAACTTAACATAAAATAGAATAAATGAAATTAATTAACACTCCTAAAAGTAATTAATTAATAGTTTTAAAATAATTTAAATTAATATAGACAAAATTAAATTAAATTAATTAACAAACATAAATTTTATTTAATTCATTAACACTCCTAAATTAAATTAAATTACTTAACAGTTCAATTTTTTTTAACTTAATATAAACTAAATTAAATGAAATTAATTAACACTCTTAAAAATAATTAATTATCAGTTCTAGAATAATTTAAATTAATATAAATAAAATTAAACTAAATTAATTAACAAACATAAATTTAATTTAATTTAATTTATTAACCCTCCTAAATTTAATTAAATTACTTAACAGTTAAAATTTAATTTTTAATTAAATTACTTAACATTTAAAAATAATTTAACTTAATATAAACTAAATTAAATTAATTAATACTCCTACATTAAATTAAATTATTTATCACACATAAATTAAATTAAATTTTCAGTCCTAAATTAAATTATTTTAACATAATTTATTTAAAACTAAAATATTCAAACCAATATTAATTTTCCTTAAATCATTTTATTTTAAAATACAAAATTTAATAATTAAAATTATCCTATAATTTATTAGACCTCAAGATGCAAGAAATGAGAAGGAAAATGGTGAATTTATTAGACCTAAAACGCTGAACTGTTGGGCTATTTACACATAATATACTATGTAGCACAATATGTACGGCCACGTGTCAAAAAAGCTTACACGTAACATGCTATGCAGCATAGCGAGTTTGACACGTGTCAGACACGTAATACGCCAAGCTGACACGTAACATGCTATGCAGCATAATAAGCTTGACACATTGTCCGTCATGTAATTTCACTGCACCAAGTAGCGGGTCACATGGCCATGAACCTACTATCACATATCAACACCTAACTCGCCAGAGGTTGTAGCGAGTTAGGTAACGTGACATTTTAAAATTAATTTTTCAATCCATGATATTTAAATAATTTTTTGTGAATAATGTGACATTTTTACTAGTTGTCCCAATACCAATAGCAGCATAAAGAACATAAGATATACATGGAAAAATATCTAATGCAGTGCAGCGGTGAATGGTACGCAAAGTTTAACTTCTTGTGGAAAAGGTATTTTATTTAAGCTGATTATTTTATTCATTGGCATGTGGTCTTAAAAGTGGCCACAATAATTACGGTTATTAATTCGAAACATACAAGAAATTAAAAAGGCAACAAAAAAAAAGGAAAGGAAAAAGCCAATAAGAAGAAAAGAAAAGCACATAAGGGTGGGTCCCATTAGCTCGAGCCCGATTCATGTGGCTGAGAGTGAGGAATGGACTCCGAAGCAAAACAAAACAAAACCAAGCACATTCTTCCCTTACTAACTACATTACAAAAAAATCAACGGCGAGATCGATTCCCATGGACCCACGTACGACGAACTTCTAGCCGTTGATTTTATGCAGCATTAAACTTTTCGTTCCTCTTCACTTCAATTTTCTTCTTTTTTTTCATTTCCTTCATCAGCTTCTCAACTTTATTGTTCCCAGTTTCGCCGACTTCGCTCTTCTGCGTCTCTGAATTTTGAAGGTAGCTTCGAATCTTTTCGGTTTTTGAATGAGAGTTTCTTCGTTGAGTTTTTTGTTTGCTGAATTCCATGGAAGTTCGATTTACTGTTTAGTATAGGTTTATCTTTGTGGAATTCAATCACACTGAAATTATTTGAATCTGAATTTGACACAAAAAAGATACAATTACTTATTTATATTCGATGATTTAGTAGTGGTTTATGTATCATGTTGGTAGGAATCGGATTCTGCTTTCTTCATGTGATGGTGTTAGGTGCTTAAAATCTAGTTTTGTTCATTTTTCTGTATCTCCGTGCGATTTTTTTTTTCCTCCTTTTTTTAATGAAGGATAATTAATGGCTCTAATAAATTCCAGGTTTTGAACACTTGTTCGGCTTGACTATGTTTGTGAGGTCAAAGTAGTGGTGTGTTGTTGTGCTGGAGAAAGTGAATCAATCCATCATGATGCCTGATGATATTGCTGCACAAGCATGTCATGATGGTGAGAGGGTGCATGCTCAGGCAATGCATGGTTACCAATCGGCATGGATGGCTCATTGGATGCATACAAGTTATAAGTCAGCGACCCCGGCTTGCAATCGTGTAACGATTGATTGTGAGCTTAAAGAAGTCAAAGAAGACACTGGTGCTGATCAGCATGGTTCACTTGGTGCTGATCAGAAGTCAAAGTCTATGCATGCTGGAGCATTTGGAGAAGAAGCTAGGGCTGCAAGGGTTAACTTCAGTAATGAGGCAGACACAGGAATATCAAAGAAAGTGAGCTCTGATCCCAATTCATTTCCTGTATTTGATCTTTCTCGAAAGTTAGATGGAAGATTGTCTCTGCAGAGGGAAGAGAATAGTGTTTACCATGGGGAAGATGTAAAATCTGAAACCGAAGCCTGCTCAGGAGATGACAAGGTTTCTCTCAACAGAGCTGGGAATCACTTACCATCAAGATCTGCACATGCTCCTCCTAAATCAGAAACTTTAGTAAGAGAGTGTAAATTGTTGTCTGAAGGAACTTTAGCTGTTCCAACATCACTATGGAATGACTTTGTAAAATCAGCTTCTGACATAGTGCCAAATGGACGTGACAAAGGAAAAACCTTGATGCCCCAATTCAAACCTCTTCCACTTGATATATATCAATCAAGCCACAATTTAGCATCCCAAGAGTGTTTCGCAAGTACTAAATATCATAGTTATTCTTCTCTTTTAATCCGTGAGAAGAAAATAAGTAGCCTTTTGTTAGACCCTCAAAGATCTTCCTTTTCAAGATGGATGCAAGGTGGTATTGCTCATTTGCCACATGATCCCATAGCTGGCAGTGATGGACTGTATTTTGTTCGTGGTCAGGACCACAAGATTCAAAATTATACTGCTAATCCAAACATTACAAACCATACTGCATCCTTGGAGTCAATTAAACCACAAAATTTTTACGGTGGAAGCTCTTTGGTAAAGCCAGTGCCATGTTCTGTTCATGATGTGGAGACTAAGAAGATATACACCTGTATAGATTCAGTAGAAGAATCTTCAAGAGGCCATCCCAAAATTTCCGAGACAACTCAACAATTTCTGATGTCTAGAAAGTCTGATGTTAATTTATCTGACCGAGGTCAGTTCTTTGAAGGGTCAATAGCACCTAACAAATACAAAGGAAATGCTGAGATCCTTGATTTCTCTCTACCCATGAGTGACTGTGCTCTGGATGGTCTGAAGCTGGAAGCTTTAGGCAGCTCCATTAAGAGTGAAGGAAAGGAAAATGTCCAAGATTTCAAAAGTCCAACAAGCCTGAAGAATGAATCATCTGCTGAAACAGATACTATGGACATCAATGCTTTACATGAGAATCATCTTTTTGGTATGTATGCACATTTTTTAATATATTTTGAGATTGATTAATTGCTTACATAATGTTCAATTTTTTTATATTTTCAGTTAAATTTAATCTTAGTTTTAGTTTTTGGAGGATGACGTGGTCTGCAAGTTTGATGGCTTTAATGTTGTTTTTTGACTGAACTGCTGATGCCTCTTCCCGTCTATTGCAGGTAATGTTTCATTGCAAACAAATAAGGTAATGTTTCGTATACATAAAAATAAAAATAAAATGCTAATGTTTCTAATGCTTGATCTTCTTGATACCATTCCATTTAATTTTCAATCATCACTTTCTTGCGTAAGCATTTAAATGATTTTGTCTTAACCTGGTTTTTTACACTTCACACAGCATAGTCTGGCTTTTGGGAAAATAAGAATTCATTTATACATTCATGTTGATTATGATGAATATTGCACGACATCATACATGATGCAGCTAATTTGAATGGCACTGTTTCTTCATAAGTAAACTTGACACACACACACACACCTTCCCACGCAACATATAACATCTGTGTGCTTTTGCAATTAGTTCAGAAATTTAATAACTATGTGACATCTTAAAAGTTTTCTTGTAGCAATCATATTACACCGGGTTAAATCTGATATACTATTTTAAAACTTTGAGATGCTAGTCAGGCAGGAGTTATTGAGTTTTGAATTTTGTAGTGTTCCAAGGATAGTCAAAACTCGCTCACGTCTCAAGTTGGAAAAACTTCAGCTAGAGAGAAAACCATAGCAAAATCGGTGAATACAGCAGTACCAGATATAAACCAAGAGCCTCATGAGCTTCTCACTCCGGAAAGTCCAGTGGTTGACTGGGAGAATAGCACATCAAGAACCCACAGCCTCAATGTGGAACACCTTTCCATTGCAGATGAGCAAGCAAGGTCAAAATCTGGCAATAGTTCTTTGGGATCAGATCCAGATAGCAGATGGGTTAAACGACTCAAGTTATGCACATTGGGTTCTGCTCATGGTACCAGGAGTGCAAAACTTGGAGAAAGTTCTTCGCATGAAAAAGTAAATAATATTTTCAGCAAAATTATGAAAGGTAGCACAACTAGTTTGGAACCCAAAATTGTATATCATGCTGAGGGCGAGATGGTACCAGATCTACCTGCAACAGTATTAACAAATGGCAAGTCCTCTGTTACTGAAGCGAAGAAAACAGTAGAAATTACACTTTCACATCCCTGGATTCAGAGATGGAGTCATAATCGTGCTGCATCTTCCCATAAGAGACATGAATTAGTGGAGCTTCGTGAACCAAAGTCTTCAAACACTGTGCTGCTGGAAGCGTTTCAAAAGAAGCAGTTTCCAAGCATTGCTGCTATGGCCCTGATGGGAAAGGCACTGAACAATATAAATCCCTCTGAGCTTATGAAAAAGGGACCCATAACGAAGAGATTTTGATATTGTTGGCCATAGGTATTTAAATTTATCAAGTTTATGACGGCAGATTCACGGGATTAGTTTGAGAGGAATACATGGGATATGACTGCTTGCTTTGTAGTCATATGGAGAAATAGGAAATGCTCGGGCCATATGCCAGAATCATGTTGAATATGTTGCTTATCTTACTACCTTGTTCTCCTCCGATTTGGATTAATCGAAGCAAAATATAAGCAGTGCATGCAAGAATCATGTTGAATATGTTGCTTATCTTACTACATTGTTCTCCTCAGATTTGGATTGATGGAAACAAAATATAAGCAGTGCATGCATGTAAAGATATTAAGTATGGGAACGTACCTTTTCTTCTTCTTCTTCTTAAATTCTTAAAATGTTTTATATCTGCAAACATCAGCTTAAATTCTTCTTCTCAACACTTAGGAAAATGTTTGACTATCAAGGTCTAAAAGTATATCGAGTTCTAAAAGTATAAATAAAATAAATAAATAAAAATAAAGACAAAATATCCTTAACATGTCTCCAAACGTAAAGATTTAATGACTTTTATAGATTCGCGGAGAAAACACTATTTAATGATAGATAAAGACTTGGGCAAAGCACTGTAGGACAAATACATGGCCATCATGTGCAGGATCGGATCCACCATAGCTGGGTGAAAAACAGGCCAGACAGACATATTTTTCCTGGGAATTTTAAGGTTACCTTCTACATTTGTATCTTAAAAACGAGCTACTGCCAGTTTTGTTGTAAGACTTATATAACCATGTTAATTTATATTTTGGTCTTCCGATGATTGTATTGTTATTTTTATGTGATTTTCCTATTTCTTTGTTTACTATTGATAAATACTCGGTTTATTGTTTCTTATGTTATCGGTGATAAATTTATTTCCTACACATACATAAAAGTATGTGGAGACTATGTTTTTTCTTTCTGTTTCTTCTCTTCATATGAACCCACATGGTTTTTACATATTTTTATGTGTGTATAAGATAAAATTGATCTCCTACAACATAAGAAACACTAAATCCTATATTAAGAATAAAAGGTCTCAAATTTGAAATCCATTGGTATCTTATAGAACAAAAATAATGTACCTTTAGCTCAAATGGACCTCGGTATTCTCTGTCATTATCAACTCGGACGACCTTCAGCTTTCTGCCGAGCTCTCTTTCAACCCTTGCACAGAACTTCTTGAATGCTTGGAGTACTTGATCTTTCGAATTTAGCAAGGTCACCCTCATTCTTCCGGTGTGATCATCGATGAATGTGACGAAATAATGCGCACCACCTAAAGATTTTTCTAACATAAAACACACGTCAGTATGAACAAGATCAAGAGCATACCTCCTTCTTCTAGGCTAGTCTGTTCTCTTGAATGAAACTCGACATTGCTTGCCAGCTAAACAATGTGAGCTTGTCTCTAAAAGTTAGGTGACCTCTCAAGCTTGGCAACAATTCCTTCTTAGCGAGGATTTGTATAATAGCCCTAACTTAATTAATTAGTAAATTACATGTGATTAAATAATTAAGCATGTATTAGTGAGTAAAATTAAGTATAGGACTAAATTAAGTGAATTGGGGTCACTTTTGAGGTAAAAAGTGTACTCAGCAAAAATTAAGGGGTATAAATGGGTGTAGGCAAAAGTACCCAAAATATAAAAATGGAAGTGGAAATATTCCTAGAAAAATATTCCAAACCTTTGGGTAAAGTTTGGTGGGGAATGGAGTTGAATAGATAGATGGGCTAATACCCACTTGACTCCATTTAACTTGTGTTAAGTGACTAAACAAACAAAAAAGAAACCCATTTCCCTCCCCAAAACCGTCGAGCAAGAGAGAAGAGAAGGAGAGGAAGAGAAGAGAAAAAAGAAAGGAAAACCTAGATTCTTCCATTCTTGGCCTTTTTCCTTGATTCGAAAGCCTAAACCACTCCAAATCTTCCCCTCATCCTTAATCCAAGCTTGGTTTTTTGTGGGAAGCATTGTGAAGTGGGATTTTCCTTGTGGAAGGTGGAGAAAATTTAGGGATTTGAGGTGTTTGAAGTTGATTCCTTCCATGGGAGCTTAGGAGATCAACATTCCTTGGTTGTGCAACCATTTGTGGTGAGTTTCTTCCCCTTGAACTTGGTTTTCATGGGGTTGCATGGTTGAGGAAGATGATGAATAGTGTTTTTAGGGTTTTATGATAATGTTAGTAGATTGGCTATGTTCTAGGAGGGTTGAGACTTAGTGTATGTTATGAAAAATGCTAGGAATGACATTTAATCGGTGAAAATGAGCTTAGATAGTCATTGGTATATACTTTGAGAATTGCAAAATTTTCATGGTTGGACTTGTGAAGTATTCTTGCATTGTTGAACCATTACTTGGTTGGATATTGATTGTGCCCATGTTATGTTTAGGATTTAGGCATTTGGACCAACCTTGAGTGACCAACCATTGGAGCAAGCTATGGAGCTTGATTAGCTCATGAGAATAGGTAAGCTCATGCTAATTGATAGTGTAGAGTTGTTGTGGTATTGATGGATATACAAATATTCATTTGATTGCATGATTGGTGCTGTGACACCTTGGTGTAGGTGTGTACTTTACAAGTTATAGTTTGAAACCAAAGTTGACTGGTTGCTGAACCTGTTGGTGGAGAACAAAGGTTGAACGAAAGCTTTGAGGTAAGCCTTCGGACCTTGGGTGTAATTCCCTTGATTGTTCCACCAAGCCCTGTATGGGTAGTGGTTGTGATAGTGTATAAAAATGCAATGAAATAGTTTAATGCTTTGTTATACGTATGTGTATGCATTTGGTGTGACATAGGATGGTGTTTCCCTATGTTGGTATGTTGCATGACGATGTGTAAATCATACTTGGTAGTTTAGCTGGCCAGTAGGACTATTTGCATCTGAGTATCCTTAGGACAACTTGAGAGCTCGAGGGATTTCTCCTGGAGATGTTTGTTACACACTGCATGGTTATGTATTTATTGCATTATTTTTGTTATTGCTATTACATTGATATTGAACTATGGGGTGGAGAGATGCTCCAAGGACCCCTGGTTTACTTTGATATATTCGTATATCTCACCCCGTGTTGTGGGGACCCCCTTTTAGGTGCAGATGATGCAGGAGCCTCTAGTGGCAAGTGGCCGTATTTGGATTAGATGGTCATATGCTGATAGCCTGTCATTTTGGATTGCATCTCATCTAGGATAGTAGATGTATATGTCATTTACATTGTCACATGTATATGTATATTTTGAGAACACATGATGTATTTTGGGGGACTTAGTGCATGATCATTGAAGTGGTGAATGCCTTGTTGTAAATGGCTTATAGCTTTGATCATGTTCTTTTTGTAGCTAAGTCCTTTGGCATGTATATGAAATTTGTAAGAACAACGATGTAATTGAGACCTTGATGAATTGATGAATGTGTAGATATGTTTATCATTTTGATTAGTATGATGAAGTGGTAAAGTGTTTATGGAATGAAGGTGTCATATGGTGTGTGACCATGATTGGCCTTTTATTGTCAATTAGGTGTTATGGCCCTTGATGAATGAAAGGGGAAGGAAGTTTTCCCAAGAAATTCATAAAAAAAACAGGGGAGACCAAGTCTGCCCCAGGTGTTGGGCGCTCAAGCGCTGGTTTGGGCGCTCAAGCGCGCTACATGCATGAAAATGAGTGAAAGTCCCTGCCTTTTGGCGCTCAAGCGCTGATTTGGGCGCTCAAGCTCTGATTTCGGGAGCTCAAGCGCGCAGACACCCGCCCAAGCACTCTGAGACCTGATGATGACCAAAATTCTTCACCGTGGGCGCTCGAGCGCCCATTTGAGCGCTCAGGCGAGCATCCCGAGACAACACCAACCTAGTTTACTAAAATAGTCATAACTTGAGCTACAGATCTCCGATTTAAGTGCGGTTTGAACCCACGCGAAGCTATCTCAGAGATCTATAACATAGTATGAGATGAGAACCATAAATTAAGTATAGAAATTCCAATTTAATAAAAAGTGAAGAGAGTTAGTATTGAACTCGAACAAAATAATTATATGATGTTAAGTTTAGTTTTGATTATTCTGCAAAGTAATAAGGTTATGGTCACGCAATTGGTTATTTCAAACTCGGCGTTGTTAAAAAGGAAAAACAAGTAAGTTTTAAAAAGGAAAATGAAAAATTTATCCGGGTTTTTAATTGAACCAATGTTATTGTAACTGCGCTTAATATTATAAAGCAATGTTAACAAACCAGTTCTAGAACGGGGTGTTACAATTTGCAGACCTTTCTCACTCATGTGTCCGAGTCGTCTGTGCCAGAACTTCAAACTTGATTCATCTTGCACCGCATTGGTCTCTCCATTGTCGACCTTCCCTTGCATAATATACAGAGATCCTTCTTTCTTACCTCAGGCTACTACCAAGCTACCTTTGGCGAGTTTGCGTCTTTCTCCACCAAAGTAGTTTACCAGCCTGGCTTCATCGAGTTTTCTTATCGAGATGAGATTGAGCCGCATATCAAGAACATGTCTGACCTCATTCAAAACCAATTTACAGCCCATGTCAGTCATCATCGTGACTACTCCAACTCCCATCATCTTGCTGGTAACCTGGTTACCCATCTTCATGATACCAAAGTCGCTGCCTTGATATGATAAGAAGAACTCCTTGTGGGATGTGACATTGAAGGATGCTCTTGAGTCCACAATCCATGAACAATCGTCATAGGCTACATTCAAGTAGTTGTCTTCACCAATTAGAAAGACATCTACCTCGGCCTTGTCTGCTACAATCGTGGTGCTCTACTCTTCGCTCTTCTTCGGATGATCTATCGCATCCTGCTTAACATAGTCCGTCCTTTTATCCTTCTTCAAAGTCCGACATTCTGACTTCTAGTGACCCAGTTTTCCATAGTAGAAGCATGTGAGAATATCTAGCCTCGGCTTTGACCGACCTCTGGACTTGCCACAACCTCAACGTGTCCTTCTTCCACGATTTTCAACAACATTTGCTTCATTCTGTTAGGTTATACCTCTTTCTTTCCTCTTAGCCTCTTCACTCAGCAGGTTGTTTGCAATCGAGTCCAGTGTCATCTTTCCTTCTGGGGCCGAGTTGCTAAGTGTCACCACCAAATTATCACAACTCTCAGGAAACGAGCTGAGTAACAAAAAGTCTTGCAACTCGTCATCTATTTTCATGTCAATTTTTGTCAGTTGATTGATGATCCCCTTGTATGTATTCAGGTGCTCAATCATGCTTTGTTCGTCCTTGTAGTCTAGCTTAACAAGTCGGCACACCAAGTATGCTTTGTTGCATGGCGTCTTCTTCTGGATTAAGGATTCCAGCTTCGTCCACAGCTCGTGAGTTTTTGTGTAGGTTGACACGTGCTCGAACAAGCTCTTGTCAATGTATTTGCGGATCATAGTGACCGCCTTCCTATTGAGGAGATCCCACTCTTTATCGCTCTTCCTTTCTGGCTTGTTTATGCTCAGTATGGGTTCATACATATCCTTACAATAAAGATGATTCTCCATCATGTGTTCCAATATGAGTAGTTCTCTGTGATGAGTTTGAACATGTCACCATTATGCACTACGACACCCTCCATCTCTTACGTCATAGAGCCCTTGATCCAAGAGCTCTGATACCACTGTTGTGTCTCAGAGCCCGACAGTCTTCAGCTCGACCTCGATACAATTAGCCTAACCTGCATAGATTGGCTTGTGGAAGCGTTGGTGAACAGTAATAGCAAATCAAGTTTAAAAACAAAGATAAGGAGGAAGAGAACACCAAAAATTTTAACGTGAAAAACCTCTTCGATGTGAAGAGTAAAAACTATGGGACCAAGTCCAGAAAAACCTCCACTATGATAATGGAATTTACAAAAGATTCTCTCTCTCTCATTAACCAGAGAACTTGATCTTTTAAAGGATGGATCTACTTACTAGTGCCTCTGCCTCATACAAGTGTTTCTCTCTATAAAGGGGATATGAAATTCTACTCTACAGGATATTCTTCTTCAGCGATAGTGTTGAGTTTCTTCTTAAGAGAATCTTCGTCTCTGACTTGCGCTTTAATCCTGCGCATTTCTCTTTTTTTTTTTCTCTCTATATAACGGCTCAGTATTTAAGCATCTCCTATAAACAAAAGATTAGGGCATCATCAATTTGGGCCGGGTTCATCATGGGTCACGGACCCAACACCATTTTCCATGGAATTCTTCATGAGATTTTCATATTCCTCGAATGGCATTTGCATCCTTTCCTTTTCTTACAACATATGAATTGCATCCCTTACAGTGTCCTCGCATTTCTATTCTAAAACTTAGGATAGAAGGGACAACGCAGTCAATGAATCATAGAAGAATCATAAGCGTCTTCATGTGGGTATCGATTTCAAACAAAACAAAATTTCTAAGAACTAAAAGTGCCAAGTCAATATTTCATGCTGTGTATTGAGCTGATGTATATGTGATGACGAATTTGTTGGAGGGCAGAGCCAGAATTAATGAAGAATCAATCTACACCCACTTTTGATAATCGTGATTGAGGCTTTAAGTGACAACCCATTTTCTGAGACGTTCATAATGCCAGCAATTTGCAGAGATACTAATTTATTCAATTTACTCAACTTCACATTTAGCCAACTCTTCCGCTTTTGCACCTCTCCAACTTCACGTTCATTATCACCAGTATAATAGTAACACTAAGGGAGGAAACAACTTTTCAATTCACACTCAACTTCACGTTTATTTATTCATTTTATTTTTACATGTACTGGGGGAGACTTCTATTTTGCATATCTAACAAAAAAAGGGTGCTGGTTTCTCAATTGGACATAGCGTTGCAACTGCTACCCTTCGGTTCCCAAAGATGGGGTTCCTCTGAATGCTATGAAATAAGCACTACACGCCGTTCATATGACAGTGCCATCTTCTATTGTTGCCTTCTCCATTATGATGGTGATTCCTGATCGAATGTAAAATCCATCTTCTGGTCTATCTGCTTCTTGAATGCCCTACATATAAAGCATTTGAATGGTAATCATGTTAGACTAGAAAACTACTAACTAATAAAATTGGCTCAAATGTAAAAAGAATCATTCTCACATCTTTGTTCATGATGATGACATCTTTCCCTATCTTTGCATTCTTGTCAATTATACATTTCCTTCAACAAAGACAAGAAGTAAAAAATATTAGATAACTATTCTATATACAATAATTCGTACATGTTAAGCTAATTCTTTATCAAGATAAAGACACAATATTTATAGTTACTGTTAAAAATAAGTCCAACATGTTGAATTTGGTAGTCTAGTGTCCATCTAAGGATGTAGTAAATAAGAGTAAGATTACCTAATTTTGGTGTTGCTTCCAATCCCAATGGGAACCTTTCCTTCTGCCAGCAGAGAAGCAATTTCGGATTCAGTTTGGTAAGAGGCTGCTCCCATCATTACAGTGTCCTGTAAAAGATTTATATTAGATAGCAGAAATCTCAAATGGAGTAGTTTAGTTTCCTTGGTCTAGAAATTATGGTACTTTACCAGGAGCTCAACGCCATAATCCAAGCGTGAACGTTCACCCACAATGGAATTTTGGACAGTACATCCACTAAGGAAACATCCATGGGAGATTATTGCATCCACAATCTACATTTTAGCAACTCAAACATGATGAGCAAGACATTTCGTGAAGTTAAGAGCAAACTTTTAAGATAGATGATCATAGTCATACCCGGCATTTATCGATCTTTGTTGGTGGTAGGAATCTCGGAGATGTGAAAATGGGTGTCTTGGGATCATAAAATTTGAACATTGGATTCTGCAAGTCAGTAGCATAAAAGATATATATATATATATATATTAGTTTCAGGATAGTGACAATTTGCTACATTCTAGCAGCTATTTGAGCTCATAAAGCATAATAAAACAAACTAAATAAATAATGCATCTTTTATATTGTGGTTTGAAACTAATGCATGGTTCTATAGTTCCTATACCAACAAAAAGGAGGACCATTAAATTAGAAATTTGCTGAAAGTAAATATCTTGAACCCACCTCTTCAGTAAGAGCCAAGTTAGCATCGTAAAATGATTTTATTGTTCCAATGTCTTCCCAATAGTCTCCAAAAAAATAGGACTGGAAAAAGGAAGCAGAAAATTTTACTTGTATTGTTACCTCCTCCTAGAATAGATCAAAACCTTTGAAAGGAGATATATTTAGTAGAATTTCTCTTACTTGGACATTATGTTCCCCCACAGCTGCAGGAATGATTTCAGATCCGAAGTCATTGGATGTAGGATATCTCCATTTCAGAAGCTTGAGTAAAACATCTGTCTTGAATACATAGACCCCCATAGATGCAATATATGGTGACTTTAACACATCTTGGGGCGGCAACCCGAAAAGAGAGGTATCTGCTTGCTGCAGCAGAGAAGCAAACAGTACCAGATTGAGGCAAGATAAATGTATTACAATCACATTATTATGTCACAATGTAAAATTTAAAAAATTGGGGGCTGCAAGTTTGTAGAGAATTTTCATAAATATGTAAAGGTAGAATAAGAGGCTACTTTGGGATTCAATTGTACAGAAGCTTGCCAATCAAGCTTATATAATCTGTACGTTTTAAATATATGTATGCATGTTCTTAACTTTGTCATGTATTCATATGATATATGACTAGTTGTTCTGGATTAAAATATGAACTTCACAGGAGATTCTGTAGTACTAACATGCTCACTCTCAGAAAGATGTGAAAACACTGATGAAATTGAGGATGGTAATTTTATTTTTGCTTTCTTATAGTGATCAAGAACGTATTTTAGTTGAGCATCAAATGGACTTGAGACTTACCATTGCTTTCAGATCAGCACCCTTCGGTTTTTCTGAAAATTGGATGATACGGCCTCTGCCATCTACCTTGACCAATCCATAATCTGATGCACGGCTGAGAAGCAAGCAATTTGAAATGAAACTTAGATAAAATTAAATTTGAAATGATTTGTGTTTCGAGGAAGTTAGTGTGTCTATATGACCCTTTTCTTTTGTGACTATTTCCTTCTCAATCAAATACACAGGCAAGGATTTAGAGTGAAATAATGTAAAATACCTAGAAAGTTCATATTTGAACCAGCAGCACAGAGATATCAAACAAACAAACAAACATGCAACATAAAAGAAACTCATCTAAAAGAAGACTGAACACACCTGTCACCTACAGCAGCACATGATATTGTAATATCTGCATTTCTGTCAATATGACTCTGTGTATTTGTTATAAGATAATCAGAAAAAACAGTGAAAATAAAATGAAGAAACAATCCAATGTACAAAACAATTAACCTGTATACCTGCACAAAGTCCATGTAATCCATTCGGTATAGATGATCTCCAGCCAAGATCAATACATTCTCAATGTTTGTGTGCTTGGCATCCTACAACAGTCAAAATATTACTATCCAAGTTCAACTTGAGGATTAAAAAAGAAAAAGAAAAAGAGGGACATGCAGTACATACTGAAATCTGGTATATACAAAAGATTATTTATGTTCCAACCTCAAATACCCATGAAAATTGCCTCACAGCATCTGCGGTTCCTTGGAACCATCTTTTTCCAGCTTCTCCTGGTGTTTGAGTAGCCGCCAGAACCTGATTAGGGTATGAGTTGTTTTAATAAGTTATAATGAACAAAACCATTGTAGTTGGTCATATAAAAAAAAGCATGGGCAAATTTTTTTTTTCTTTTTTAAAAAGGAACACCAAGTTGGATGATCCTGGTACACCAAAATTTCTCTCGTAATAGAATCTTTCTAGTGGCTTATACTTCTCTATCAATCACAGTAGCCAATCAGAATAAAGTTTCACTTATAAAAATATATTACAATTTATGAATATTTTATTATTTTATGTGCAGGCAATTTTAAGTCCCGTTATTATATCTTACATAGAAAACCAACCAGATTAATTATGATGCATAGCCTCTAACATTTACCATTCAAATCCATGATACATACCTCCACATATCCATCCCCAAAGTTGACGCCATTTCCAAAATAGGTGCGTGAGATATGACGGTTCAGGGATGCAGAGTTGAATTGGGTGAGTACAAATATTTTGTTTATGCCACTGTTTATGCAGTTGCTCATTGGGATGTCTATAAGCCTGTAGCATCCACCAACAGGGACCTGAAAATGCATATATCATATAATCAATGATATAAACTCCAAATATTTGAGGCTTTCTCCAAAAACTAGACAATGATTTACTCACAGCAGGTGTGGCAGCTCGTTTGGTAAGAGGAAAGAGTTCAGTCCCAGGACCTCCTCCCAATATGATGGAAACAACATTTTTTGGGTCAGCTTTTCTTCTGAGAAAGGATGGCACTTGAAAAGTCTGAAATTGAAACCCCCAATGAGAATACAATCATTTACGAAATTATGACATAAAAATGTAGCTAGAGAAACAACAGGACCTAGTCTTATGATCATATTAATCAAGACCATAACAAATGGAGCGTTGGGAAGTAGACAATGGATCCCAGAACAGAATTCAGCTTACCAAGTATTCCTTGGTATTATTTGATTTTGATGTAAGAACAGCAGATACAACACCAGGTTTGGCCTTCTTAACCTTCTCCTGAGTTCTCAAACTCTTTGCCAACTGATTAATGATCCAGGGACTGTAACTCAGACCCCCTTTGATTCTCTCACCTAAAAAACCATGATCTTGACAAAAAGTACTTTCTTTTCTTGAGTTTGCTAAATGGGTATTGGCTCTCAAGGTCACACAAGCAGACATCATTGTGGTGGCTTCAAGTCCTTTCAAAGAGCTAAAAACTCAAATCTCAAAAGTTTATACTTTTTGAAGTTCCAACTTTTAGCAACCAAGTGAAGTACACTTTACATAAAGATATTACAAAGCAGGAGACTCAGAAAATCAAAGTGACACTAATGTAAAAATAATGAACGGAAGAAAATCTTACTCTAATCAACCCCAGAATGAAGTAGGAATATGAAAAGCAACACCGAGGAAGCTGAAGAAAATAAAAAACAATATGCTACCCAAGTTCCTTAAAGAACAGGAATTCTAAGCTAAGCAAATTGCAGTATGATCTAGGAAGAACCAGAATGAACTAACTAGTGATTTGAGGGTACGATGCAAATGTGAATACAGTGAAGTTTACTAGATATGTGATCTAGTGGTGTTGAAGTTTGTGATTGCCTTTATTGGCTTGTGAGCCAGAGGCCTCACGAGAAATATGGAAAAAATCTCACAGCTTTGATATATATGAAATTCCAAAAACTATAGCGTAACATATAAAATATAATTAAATGATGTTGGTATGCTATCATACTCTATTTCCCATGGCCATAGTTTCTAGCTTCCTCTTATACATGGGAATGTCATTAGTGAACAAAACACCTTTCAATTTCAGCCGCTAGTCTTACATGAAGTCAAAGATATCACTTAAGTATTGAAAAGGAACATATAAAATTAATCAACAAATTGATGCAAATTTCTACGGCTGTCATTTGATAATGGAGCTTGAATATGTGCAACTGTGCAAGCTACTTGACATGTTACACAACATTTGTTGATAATGACTTAGCTAATCTCTATAGAAATAATTATTGTTCAACTTGATTGATCTACGATGGTTTTCACGCTTGCAATTGCCACTTTCCTATCCAATCATATAAACTGGTAAAAAACCATTAAAATGGCCCAACTGACTAACTGAGTATGGTTGCAGTCATACTTTGGTATTATTCTCGAGATTGCTCAAGTTGGCAACTTAATAAACTAATATCTCGATGATGTAACTGAAGTAATTAAACTAATGATTTTATATTTCTCTAATATATTCTCCTCACTAGAGCCAATTAGGTTTGAAGAGTGGATAATACACAATTCTACTACGTGTGCTAAGAATAAACATGTGCTAATTATTTATTAATTAAAAGAGAGACAGTAAAGATTGAACCTGTGATACGCTCTGATATTATATAAAGAATCAATTCAACTTAAAAAATTAAAATGTTGGATAAGGTTACATTAATGATTTTACACCTCTCTAACACAAATTACCATGGGCTCCTAAAGCAAATCATTCAAGAAAAAAAATATTCCTTTTTTTGGTCTTGTGAAATATTTCAACTTATTTAAAATGTCAAAAAAAAAATAAGGCTTTAATGTTTCTAAAGTGAATGTAGATATCGTTTTGGGTTGAAAAATTAAAAATTATAATAAAAGATACTATTATAATTACAAAAATACTTTGATTTCCTCCTCAAAACGATGCCATTTTCGGCTCAGTGTAGATAAATTTATCTACATTGACAATAGAAAAAACGAATTCAAAAAATAATAATAATATCCTTGTTTTGTACTTGTTAGCTTTCTTAACGGTTGAGAATAATTTAGAAAGGAGGGAGGAAACAACATGAGCTATGCTAAATAACTAGAAATACTTGAGTGTGTGTAATTAGGATTTATGTGGTTACCATTTCCCATGTTTTTTCCTTTTTAATTCAAAAGGACGATCATGTCAATGACATTGATTGCATTAATCACTAATGGAATTCGAAAAATCAGCGATTGACACTAATGTAAGTCACCATTAAATACTACATTTCATATGAAATCTCATATTCATGTAAATAAGTTTTTGTTTTTGTTTTTTTTTAAAAAGAGGGTTTTGTTGGTGGATTCAGCGGGACCCGTTAATGTATGTTCAGACAAGTAGATTGTTCAAAGGTGGGCCACAGTGTGTACGGTTCTCAATTGCTCAAAACATATACACATAGGACCCACCAAACCTTTAGTCCTTATAATTGGGCTGTTGTGGCCCACCATTAATTTATCTTTTGTGGTTGTGGATCTCATGCAGCCCAGGCTGACACTTACCAATGTTCCCATGCGACAATCATGTGGCAAGTGCAATCTATTCATTTTAGCTACCGTTCAGAATTAAGGTAGAACATACCTGCACGAATTGATGGAGCGACTAGCCAATGACTCCGTTCATTGTTCCGTTGAATGAGACACGGTGGTGCACGTACTGGGTCCCCTGTGATAATGGTGGAATGTTTTATAATATCAAGATGCATAACCGAGAGTAGGGGTGCTAAACGAGACAGGGCCTTCGACTCGGCTCATGAAGACCTGAGCTTACATATCTAAAATTGATTGTTGGACCGAAGCTTGAACTTGTATAAAAGCTTGTTTAATAAAAAGGTCTTAGGCTCTAATTTAAAAGCTCGGCCTTAGAGCCTTTCAAGCTTGCCTACTATATTATTTTTTTATTTTATTTTTTATTTTTTATACTACTTGTGATAGCCTTCTCTCTCTTCTCAATTCATTTCATTCTATTTTATTAATTAAACATACTTTTTGAATGATTTTATTTTATATTATGCTATTTGGATATACATTAAATTTATGAATATTTATGAAATTACTAGTGCTGTTGATTGTATATTTTGTTTGGATAAATTTTGTTGTCTTATTTTTTTTAAACAGGCTAACAGGCTAAACCAGACTTTTGTTTTTTGTAAATGAGCAAGGCCACAGACTGATATCATATTCGTAACAGGTAACAAGCTAAGACCAGTCTGACACATTTGAACAATGGCTCGACCCGTTAAGACCAAAGCTCGACTCGGCTCGTTAACACCCCCGCAGAACATAATTGAAAAAAGATTACAAAATATTCCGAAATCTGCTTTGTGTGTTTCTTATCCATACTTATTATAGTTTTATGTTTTTTTTTATCATTCATTTGTATTTGATATTAAAAATTTGTTTTTGATATTTCATATAAATTATTGTAAATAATTTTAAACGTATAATTTAAAATGTCATTACGGTTAGATATATTAAAATTTAATTTACATTGAAACTTTTGCATATTTTCATATGGAAAACACAAAATTTTCCCAAAAATTATAAAATCCTTTCTTAGCCTAAATTTTTATAAATATCTTATGACAAACATATGTGATATAATAATCATTTTTTATAAATAAGAAGGTTAGATAAGTGTAAAGAATGATAAAGATATGATAAACTTATATCTTATTATATGTTGATGTGCACTAGATAAGTAGTCTGATATGATTATATTATCTTTGTTGGGTATAGCTTATACTTCGCATCATATGAGGACTCTCATTAATGGGGCTAGCAAAAAGCCAACTGGGGTTCTGCTCATACTTGTAATTTTCTCTTTCTTTTTTAGTAGTTTGGGCTTCGGCCCATGATCATAGCTGCTGTTAAGATTTTCTAAATCCTATTTATATTCGCTTGTAACCCGAGTGACTTGTATCGAATGGCAAAGATGTGAACATAGTACAAAAAAGCTATACATAGTCTATATTAGGTGAACTACGGTAGACCTCTGTGTGATTTTCTCTCATCCTTTCTCTTTTCGTTTTCGGTTTGTGTGTGTTGCGCTATTATCGATTTCCAACAATCTTATCCTATGAAGGGAACTAGATAATGTTTGAATATGATATAAATATGTCACATTGGTTGGTAATGAGTTAAGTGAAGTGTATATAAGTAGGAGAATCCATGAACCCAATGTCTTAAGTATTTGGATTGTGACATGGTGTCGAACCCATTTGCTAGCCTTGGTCTAGTTTAGCCCATTAGTGGTGCATGGTATCAAAGCCAGGTTGAGCTCAAGCTAGCCAGGTGTTTGGCAGGAGACGAGTTAAGTATTTTGGTCTGAGTACTCAATTGAGTGGGAGTATACCACTGTTGGGTTTCACACTTGAGAGAGAGATTGTTGGAATATTTAAGTGTGATGTGTAACACCCCGTATGCATCCGGTTTGTTAACATGTTATCGTATTAAGCCACGCTTAATTTAAAAAAAATTGCAAAATATCTTTTTCCTTTCAATAATGACGTCATTATACTTAGCCAAGTTGATTACTTAATCGTTTCCATAAAAACATCGCCTGTATGTAATTACAAAAGACCACTAACTGAAATACTTCATAATATAAATAACAGTGAGTATCTAAAATCACGGAACTACAACACGTAGCCCGGACATAATCCTGATACATTATTACAACTCGAATCTAAAACAAGACATAGTCAAATCAATGCGGCATGGACAATCTCCATGCTCACCAAATGAGGCAACAAAGCCAACAAAGTCTCAACAGCAACAACATAATCATAGCTAATCAACAAAATAGCAGCAAACATAATCCAGCATCCAATATAATCAGCATAACAGCATATAAATCAACTAAGCTCCGGCCTCCTGCCGCTTGAGGTCTCAACCCCGGCATTACCTGAACCTGAAATGGTGCCCCAAACGTGGGGTGAATCTCTAAAAAGAAATCTCAGTAAGACAAGGGGTCCTCAAGGATCTTCCACCCCAAGCTCACTTACATGTGCAATATAAGTTCTAAAAGCAATAATTCAATATAAGTTTCAAAACTATACAGTGCAACAGATATTCATGCCATGTGTGTATAACTATTCTACTGGCCAGAGAAATGTAGGAATACGTCTATTACCTACATATAGTACAAGGAACACCGCTTGCACCTCACCCACAGCCTCACCATATTGTATGTACTACATACTCAGGCTTACCGTATAGGTGGAACACCACATGCATATCCAAAAGACACTGGCATATAACAGCTTAATATCATTTCTAAAATGTCAAAAGCATGTAACACAGCATGCATATAACCATACCCTCATGGGACATGGTGGAACCACAACATGGCTAAACCGAGGACACGAAAGCTTACCTCTTAAGAAATACGTCCAAACCAAGAGCTCACACTAGCTCAAGCCCACAAACAGCACAATCACAATCTGTTTATACAATAAATAATCATCAATAACCATTAATCAAGGTTACATTAAGTGATTAAGGCTTTCCATCTCATTTTAAGTCATTTCATATTGTTTCTGCAGGAGGTATTCGAATACTCCTCGATGAGTATTCGAATACTCCAGCTCTCCAGAAAGTATCCGAATACTTTCACTAAAGTATTCGAATACCACAGGGTATCCGAATATTTTCCGCCCAGTAGGGTCGCGACTTCAAACATAAACTGAGAGAAATCCACTTATCCAATGGATCTGAAAATTTACAAGGTTGTAGCCCTATGTGTCAGCTTCACATAGGTTCAAACCTCACTAAATTTAGAGCTCTGTAGCTCAAGATATCGCAATTTTACTAAACTATGTCACTGCTGTCTCGCGAAGTATTCGATTACTACCTTTTTCCAGGAAGTATTCGAATACTTCTTCGACAGAATGCAGAAAACTGAGTTTTAAAGGTAAAATCGACCTCCAATGATCCAAACTTGATCTGGAGTCCAAGAACTCCTTAAACAGATGTTGATTAACATGTTATGAACCCAGAAACACATTCATTTTATCAAATGGTTCAAGTTACGATTTTTAATTGCTTAAACAAGCTTAAAACATCAACATACACAAGGGTGATCATGGTATACCTTCTAATGGTCAAAACTTCGAAAATGGCACTAATTTGGAGCCTCCAACACAGCTCCAAGGTACTGACTTCACCAAGATACGAATTTAACACACCAATGTTGGTTCTTTAAGCCAAAAGGTTACTACTTGGCAACACAAAAGTCATGAACAAAGCCTCACCAAGGTAGTTCACAAACTCAACCCACAACCCCTCACTCACAGCCCCTAAACTGACTTTCCACAGCCACCACACTCAGAAAAAGTACTCATTTCACACTCACAAGTCCAAAGCACACTCATACCAAGAGATTTAGTGAAGAAACTATGGAGAAAGGTGATCAAAATGGTAATTTCTCAAGCAAGGAAGAGGGTGGCAGCAAGGGAGGCTCAAGGTTCAGCAAGGAGCCACGTAATGTTAGAGATTTCTGACCTAGAAATTTGTGACAAGGCCTTATATAGGCCACTTAAGTTTTAAACACATAGTATTAACATTAATAGCTACGCTTAACATTTTAATCTCAAACTTGAAATTATGAACCTACTCATTTTTCTAAGATTTTTCATATTTTTATTTTATTTTTCGCAGCACCTTTCCGGTACGCGCTTTTCCATAGCCAGTATCAGTCCTGGCACTAGTTCTCATTATTTTAACTTGAAACTTGTTTTACAAGTCCTATATATTATTCTAGAAATATTCATGCACTTATTATAATTTTCCGGGATACTTCATCAGTACGCATTTATACCGAGTAGCAGAACCGGTATCTGCATTTTTCGTCCGAAAAGCGACTTTCAACATTATTACTCACTTACTATAATTATTAAAGCCTCATAATAATTATTAGGGTCAATTATGAAATTATCTCATAATTATCTAATTAACTTCCTTAATTAGCAGTACGAGTTCTTACATGATGAATCCCAGATTAATTAATAATGGGCTAACTGAAGTATATACAAGTGAGAGACCCATGAATCTCAATGTTAAATTGTGACATGATATCGAACCTACTTACTAGCATACCACGGGCTTCTTTCAACTCACCTGACATACATTTTACAAGTCAATCTCCTCTCCAATAACATAAATTTAACAAAAAATAAATATATTAAAAGGTGCAAAACCCACCTTGGGGATCAACATTTTAAATATTAGAAAATATGAGGATCAACATGAAGCTTTTGGATCCTAGCATGGAGACCCACATTGAATAGTACATTTTTTTGCGGATAAGGATTAGGAGTATGACTTGAAGAGATGGATGGGGCACTACAACTTGTGTTTATGCAATTGGGTCAATTAGAAAAAAAGTGAGAGACTGAGCAATAACATTTTGCAAGAAACAAACAAGCACATGACACTAATGGTTTCTTTGATTCTTAGGGTGCATGATGCCTAATCATGGGTTCCCTCTCATTGCTCCGTTTTTTTAGGCTACTCTACCTCCACCGTACATGTGTCCCGCAAATATTATCAGTAATATTGCTATCCCATTTGATTGGTCTTGCTTTTTTATTTTTTTGGTAAGCGGTCTTGCTTTCTACTTGTGCGATAGTAGTAGACACACAATAGTGCTATCACATTTTATCGGTTTTGCTTTCTATTTGAGTGGTATGGTCGGAATACAAAGCCCAAAAATCTGAGTTATCAACCTTGTCAGTCATGACCAAAGGTGAGAGCCTCCATAATATTTTGGAGGTTTATTACAGGGTTGACAGATAAAAAAAACTAAGATTGAATGATATGATATAAAATTATAAATACTTGAATACTATCAAACATGAAAATGTGAAGATTTTATTTATCACCGCTTATTATATAATTATATTTTCTAAAGTTAAAAGATAATTATCAGGAGAATTTTTTAATTGGAACTGTTCTGTCTGAAAGACAGAAATGTCCAACCGGTGGCTGATATATTTTATGTAAGATCTAGGTGCTCTCTCTCAAGTATCTATGAATGAGATACCCTTGATGGTAGGTCGATCACTGTGCACAATAATAATCGACATAGTCAAGGCGTGGGGTGTGTGCACAGTGACAAGCTAAGAGAGAGGGTTTCAGAGTATGTACCTTATTGGTTTAACCCCGTATTTATAGATGGGTTACCTGAAGAAGGGTACTTCTGGGCCTCTTAGGAATATTGGGGGCACAAGTCCAACTGCTTAGCTGTCTGGATAGGATCGTCATCAATAGGAGATTTCATTCCTTTTGTGTTGTCCTTTATTGGTCCTTCTAGAATATGGACATTTGTCAGGTCCAGGAACCAAAAAATTAATCTCAAAGCAATGCTTGTTAAGATACCTTAATGAAAAATAAAGGTTCAAACTCCCATTACGAAATAGGAGCTATGAGAAACCAAGGAGATAAAACAATAAAGTTGTTATGAGAGTGGATGTGCAACATAAAAACAACTTACAAAGTGACAAAATGCACGTGGCATGCATGCTATGCTAGTAATTGATTGATAGAAATATAAAGAGAGTAACCTAAGATCAGTCGCACACGTTCTCCTCTCTCTCTTTTTTACCTATTTTTCTTATACGTTTTTTTAAAGTCTTCCGACTTCTGTAAATGATGTTACTTAAACTTTAAACCATTTTTTATCTCGATATGTCGACATGATTGTATAGATAATTTCATCAATAATAGGCTGTGGATATGATGGAAATAGTTAGTGAGACAGAGAATGAAAAAAATAAATGGCTAATATGAGTTGGGCTGCTTCTACGAGAGGAACAACAGATCTCTTTCATTGCTAAAAGCATGTACGATATAGGAGCCCAACAAATATTTTATCAGCCTCTAATAATGAAAATGCTAAGTTTTGTTTTTTGATTTATTCCACTTGAGCTTCAACGTGTTTTCCTGGTAATTCATCATATATTCTCATACCAAATACAGATCTGCTTGATGGATGCACATGATGACAATTGATAGTTTGATACCACCATTTAAATTGATTAATTTAGCCAAGGGAAAAAAAATTATTTATTTTTTTCTATTGAAAGAAATAACTAGCTGACGCATAAGACACTTGAAATATAATTAATGCCAATTTCTAATGTACATGTGGTCTAAGTATTGTCACGAAATAATTGAAGTCAGGAAATGATCAATGCTCAGGGATGATATTGCAACTAAAATTTGAGTAAAAAGTTACAATTCAACCTAACTAGATATTTACATTTTTAATTTCCATGAAAAAGTATATGTATATATACCATTACACAAAGTTGATGCCCCCAGATAATAATCACTAGTGATTGAGGATGTTAAGAAGGGCAACTCTAATCTTAATCAAACGCCTAAACAGAAACTCAAGCCCTTCTTCAAGGTCTTGAACGAGCGGTTCCAGTTTCTCCAAGTGGTTTTGCAACTTATTCATGTTTTCAAATTTGCTTGTCTGAGAAAATATGTAGGATTGCAATGCTTCATCAAGTTGGGAAAATTCACTTTCATCTGAAAATTGTGAGCAAGCTGCTACTTTTTTGGTCTGCATTAGCTTGGAAATCAAAAGCCAGCTACTTGACTTTGATTGTGTTGTCCCTGAGATAAATTGCTGTAGTGCCTGAAATGTTGATAGAGTAATCACTTCCACGTTTTCTAATAAGCTAATCAAAGCTAATGTTTGATTGTCTTTGTTTGTGGATGAGATGTTGCAATTCTTTGTAGTAGCACCCTTCAAATTTGTCAAGGCTTTTGAGATGGCTTTTCTTACCACCTTCCTTGAAGTCAAAAACTTTTTAACCTCTGCCTTGAGCTCCACTTCACCACCCCTTCTTCTTCTCATAATTGATTGAAGTTCACGCATACACTCCTTTGTATGTAGTAGAGAATCTTTGGTGGCTGTGCACACATCTAAGAGCCTTAAGGATCCATCCAAAAGCTCATCTACCCAGTTTTCTTGACTATTATGGAGGAGGGCTTCTTGGATGAGGGGTAGCTGGATCAAATTTTCAACACAATCATGAAGATCCTGCAACCCTCCTAGCTTATGGCTAAGCAATGAAGAGGAAGAGGATGTTTCATGGGAAGCCCTTAACCTGTCCAAATGCTCATTGCATTGTAGAATGAGAGGGTGTGGTCTAGAGGGCAAGCTGTTTGATCTAGCATGGAAGTTGGATTTAGTTTTCAAAGTAGAGGGTGCCATTTTTGCTTAGGAGAATAGAAGCCTTGTATTTTGAGTGTAGAATTGAGTCCTTAGATCTACTTTCTTTACAAAGCCATATGGCTCAATATATATTATGGGTGTTGGAGACACAAGGAATCTCATCTTAAACAAACATCAATGAGTGCTAACTAATTGAGATTTGGATCTAAACATTATCACAAAAATGTTAGAGCAGTGTCTCCCACAAGGAAACTCTCCAACTAATACTTTTGTTTAATTTTGCTCTTTCTGACTTCCATGATTATGACATTTTCAATGCAAATCATTTACTATTAAAATCCTTCATTCAATAATGCAATTCATCTGCATGTGTGGACTACTCTGATGACTAAAACAATGGCTGCAGCATTGCTGTGAATGTCTCTCTTGAAAAGACAAGAACCGCATTACTTGTTCCCAAGCATTAAAATAAAGCTAAAAATGTGTGAGTGAAAAGAGCCAGACCCAATTTTCGAATCCGTATGATCACCAATCTGTCTGTCTTCGTTGCATTTAATTTCATGTCCAAATTAATATAAGACTGCCTAATGGTTGACGAACGTGAGGTCTGAGCTCTGCCTACCATCTACAATATTTGAACCAAGAAAATAGGAGGTGTGATATAATTTAAAGAGAAATATTATATTTACAATATCTTTTGGTTTACAATCAAATTTTAATTGTTAATTTCCGCCATTGTTATAATTTATTGAAATTAATAATTAATTATTAAATTATATAACAAATAAATTATAACTGTTAGATTGATGGAAATCAAACGGTTAAGATTTGGCTGTAAGAGATTGTAAGTGAAAAAAGATTATAAATATAACCTCTCTCAATTTTAAATATCATAACCGTGATCAAAATATAAGAATTAAATCGAAATACTTACCTTTAGGAGGTGTATTGGATTAAGATTTTAAAAGATTTTTTTGAGCTAAAAAATCTTATAGATTTTAAAAAACTATTTAAAATTGAAGAGACTTCAAACATTTACATGGCTCTTCTTTTGCTTCAAACATACACATATAACTCTTTTCATTTGTAGCAATTGAACTTATATAAGAAGATAGGAAAGGTGATATACGGCTAAAATAGGGCTGAGAAAAATAGGATTTGATACAATAAAATAACGTGGAAAATCCTCAACTGATAAAAAAAAAATTATAAGTAAGAGTAAAGAAGATTTTCATTAAATAGAAGAAAGTACAATTTCTCTCTAAATGCAAGGAGAGAATAATAAACTCTCCTAAGATAGGAGAATGTACCTCACTCTAAGAAAACACTCAGAAGACACTGAATTATGTCTCTGTGTTGGATGATTAAAACTGAAATGCAAAGTCCCTATTTATAGGCATAGGGTGCTGCTATACATTTCGTAATTGATTTTCATTTTCCGCAATTCCAACAATATGACATGCGGAAATTATGAGTGCATATCCGCATGGGCATTAATTTGTGCACAAAAGTCATCGAAAGTGGTTTTACTTTCATCATGGCTTACTACATCAAAGTTTTCCTGGAAGGGTGAAATATATCAATATAACACTAACTAGATGAGACAATAATACAAGCTATAGTTCAGTGGAAGTCATAGTTGAGGTCATGCAAGCACGGGCAAGCTGAAAATCGAGGGGGAGATGAAGGGGTTGGACACTTGAACTCCCAGTTATGAGGGATGATTTTTTTTTTTTGTACATTGTCAGGAGGTATCCCCATTCAACCTTCTCCGGGCACCATGCCCTCGGGGTACGGCCCTCATTGTGTGCACTAAGCTTCGCAACCGGAGAAAGGACGAGACTAATGATGAGGGATGATTTGAGTAGAATAACAATGTGAGTCTTGGTGAAGAAGATGATCCCTCATGGGATAAGTGGGGGTTATTTATAGTGAATTGACAGATTCTGTGAAATTTGATGCCATAACCTTCAGCCCTATGGTTCCCATTGGCGTGTGACGCTGCGTGACTTCTCATGTGCAAGTGCGTGGGAGTGAGAGAGAATCAGATATAAAAGTACAATTTGTCCTTTGGTGAATTAATGGGCTAGGTCACCAGGCAGCCCAATGGGAAGGCATGAACAGATAGACCCAACTGCCCAATCTAGAACGCTAATCAATCTGCATTATTTTTTAACTTTCCTAGTTCCCGTTGGTATTGACTTATTAAAAAAGTATTTTTTATGATTTTTTTTTTATTTTAAAAGTACTTTCTATAAAAGTTGCACCTATTTAGATTTTTTTAAAAATATTAGATTTTTGAAAAAAATATTTCGCTTTTGACTTCTGTTTTTTTGAGAAGTTAAAATTTTTAGCTTAAAAAAAAAAAGGTTTTAGCTTTTTTTATAAGCAGACATCCAAACAGACTTTTTTGAAAAGTGCTTTTTTTTTTCTTAAAAAAAGCAGCTTTTGAAAAAAAAAAGCTCATCCAAACGAGCTCTAAGTGCGTCTTATGTCTTATATTATAAATCTCTTTTCATACAAGAATGACTTCCCACTATGAAGCACTGACACTTCAAAAATACTGATGTGTCGTGTTCGACACTTCCCGACACTTCAACACGCATTATAGAAATTCAAAAAAAGGTTCAAAGGTTTCGTTGTATTGAGTTTTTAGTTCCAACTATTAGATTCATTGGATTACGATTACCATTTTATTGAGTTTAATATAAATATTTGGGATATATTATGTTTCTTTGCAAAATTGATGAATATTATAAGTTTAATTTTATTTTTTTGTTAAATTATTGAATATTAAATGTAATATACACTACATAAATTAAAAATATTATTTAATATCAAAACGTGTTCTAACGTGTCAAAACCTGACTTTTTTTAGAATTAACGTGTCAGAGTGTCATATCGTATCGTGTCACGTGTCCCGTGTCAGTATCCGTGCTACATAGCTTCCCACTATCTTAGGCGTGGTCCACGTGGATAACTTTAAATCCCTTTTTTAAGTTATCAACTTTCATTCATAACGAACTTATCTAGTCAAATAATCATTTAACTAATTAAAACTAACTAAAAGTAAATACAAAACTATGCGACCACTTCTAGATTATTATATATATATAGGGAAATATTACTCTCCTTTTACATAAGGTAACTTATCTCATCTTCTCTCACTTCGATTTCCGCACCCTACTTTTTTATTCTTTTTCTTTTTTCTTACAATAGTGGGACCCACTCATTTTCTCTCTACCACATAAGATAACTATCTTATGTGGAAGGAGATTAATAAAACTCATATATATATATATATATATATATATATATATATATATATAAGTCTTACTTCTCATCTCAGCTGTTGATTTTCGTCTATTAATGATTATAGTTTATTTGAAATTAATAATTAATTAATTCGTCTAAGTCTTACACCGGAGTCAAAAGATTTCTTCCATATATATATATATATATATAATAGAGATATTTTGACTCCAGAGTAAGACTTACAAATCTTACTCTCTATTTTAAACTTTAATTTCCGCTCATGTAATAGTTATAGTTTAGGAAATGATACTAATTAAACTATTCATTCGAAGTCACCACCATGATGTGCTCAAATTTCATGGTGTAATTTAAGTCAAGAAATGATAAAAGCTCAATGGTGATATTGCAACTAAGAATTTGAGTAAAAAGTTTCAATTTATTATCTCTAGATATGTACATTATGATTTCCGTATAAAATTATAACTACATAACACTACAAAAATTTGATGCCCCGGATATACTCAACTAGTGATTGAGGATGTTAAGAAAAGCAACTCTTATTTTAATCAAACGTCTAAACAGAAACTCAAGCCCTTCTTCATGGTCTTGAATACATGACTCAAGTTTCTCCAAGTGGTTTTGCAGATTATTGATGTTATCTGATTTGCTTGTCATGTGAAGTACAGAAGATTGCAATGCTGCATCCATTTGGGAAAATTCACATTCATCTGCCGCTTGTGCGCAACCTGTTCTTTTGGTGTGGATTAACTTGGAAACCAAAGACCAGTTGCATGGTTTTGCTTGTGTTGATCCAGAGATAAATTTCAACAATGACTCAAATATGGATAGAGTAACTACTTCAACATCTTTTAACAAGCTAACCAAGGCCATGGTTTGTTGGTCTTTGATGTTAGAAGAGAAGTTTCCCCTTTTGGAAATAGCCTTCAAATTCCCCAAGGTTTTGAAGATGGCCTTTCTCACCACCTTCCTAGAAGTCAAAAACTTGTTAACCTCTGCTGTGAACCCCATTTCTCCTCCCTTTCTTCTTCTCATAATTGATTGAAGTTCACGCATGCACTCCTTTGTATGCAGTAGAGAATCTTTGGCTGATGTACACACATCTAGGAGCCTTAAAGATCCATCCAAAAGCTCTTCTACCCAAGATTCTTTAGGTTCATGGAGAAGGGCTTCTTGGGTGAGGGGAAGCTGGACTAATTTTTCAACACATTCATGCAGATCCTGCAAGCCTTCTAGTTTATGGCTTAGAAATGAGGATGAAGAAGAGGTTTCATTGGAAGCTCTTAACCTGTCCAAGTGTTCATTGCATTGGAGAATAAGTGGGTGTGGTCCAGAGGGCAAGCTGTTTGAGCGAGCATGGAAATGGGATTTTGTGTTCAAAGGAGAGGCTGCCATTTTTCTTCAGACTTGAGATCAAATGTAGAATTGGGTCTATGGATCTGCCTTCTTTCCATTGCCACATGCTCGATATATATAATCTTATGCTCAATTATTTTTGCAATTAATTTCTAAAATTAAATTATATTTCATTGTGTCAACCCTCGTGTGCATGTGAAGAGTAGTTAATTAGGTGGCTAAAACACAGGCTTGGGTCTAGCTGGACATGGGGAACAAGTGCTGAATCTCTTGTTCCCACTGCCCTCAGCATCATCAAGCTAAATGTTTAATTTAGTGCTACATTACCAATTGCAAAAATAATAGATAAACTTTATTTCTTTTAGTTGCACAAGTTTTGAGTCTATGAATGTGCCAATAATATGGGTATAGGGGACACAAGGAATCTGATGTTAACAAATCTCATTGAGTTCTAATTAATGTAAATCTGGATCTAGAAATAATCACAGAAAATCAGAAATGTTAGGGCAGTGTCTCCCACAGGGAAGCTTTGCAACTCATAATCTTGTTTTCTCCCTCACTTGCATTATAATATATGTATATCCTGTCCATGAGTAACATTAATGCAATCAGTTGTCTCATTACAATTGATATGCAAAGAAAATGGAATATGATAAACAAATATCAGTGAGTTCTATTTAATTTAATTTGAATCTTTGCATATCAGAGAAATGATAGAGCAATGTCTCCCACAAGGGATGCTCTCCAACTCAATATTGCATGATAATCACGTTATTTTTTATATTATTATATCCAAACAAGGCGTGGCATTGATGCATTCGTTGTTGCAATTGATGTACAAGGAAAATTTACAATATTTGACATTACATGGACTCACCTTATAACTTTCTGACCTCTCTTGGTAGAACAGCGTTGCCTGCCACTCAGGGGCCTACCACATAGCTCATGTTAAGTGCTTATCACATAGCTCATGTTAAGCGTTTAATAAACAATTAGGTAGGCAAAGACTCTTTTTTATTAGTCTATTTATTTTTTTAAAAATAAATAAATAAATTTCAAAGTACCAAAAATGCTTTCCTAACTAGTTGACCTGTTTATTCAAATGTCTCAGCCCGCTAATTTATTTAAAGACCTCACCATACGTACGTTGACTTAATTAAAGATAGTTTTTTAGTATATTTAAAGGCTTTATTATAATATAAGTCTTTAAATAAATTTTTAGGTCAGGTTATGTTTTTAAAAAAAGGTAATATACCAAACCCTTAAAAAATAACCTACATAAGTTAAATAGTCTAGGCTACATTTCATTTTTGGGAAACAGGCTAAACTTGTTTAACAAAGCTTGTCTTAGTCTAACATGCTTCTACTCCATCATGTAAATAGGTAAGAATTGATTTATTAAAAGAATAAGAGACAACATTTCATAGAAAAAAATTATAGTTTGTTTGATTGTTAAAATAATATAAGTATCAGATAAAAAAAAAAAAAAAACAACTCAAGTGACATCACAAATCTTTAAACTTTTTTTATCCATTAAACCAAGTTACAAAATGTTGTTTATAACACAAAAAATGTTTACAATCACAAATCAACGGAGATATCACATTATTTCTTGTCATGTGCATTAGTTATTAAATATCTAACAATACAAAAAATTATCTTATGATTATATATATATATATATATATATATATGCGTCAAATACAGCCTAAAAAATTATAAGGTGCTTATGCTTATTTAGTGGGGCAAGCCAATCAAAATTGGAGAGAGAAAATGTGATATGTGTATAGAGAAGAGAGAAAAAAAAAATTAAATCATGTGTCATATTTTTAGTGGAAAGAGCATGTTCCTGAAGCACTGAAAGTTCTCTCGTAGGTAAGAATCCTAATTATTTCAATCATTTTGGGATAGACCGCAAAAAATATCTTGTAAATCGAAGGTATCCTTTACCGAATCAAAGAGGTAAATTTGTCTAAATACATGCAAGTTAGACACCACCTAACTGCACTATCAAACATAAACAATTCTTTTACTCATTCAATAATTTTGTTTTACTTTATCCTTCTATGGAAGTAATTGAGCTAACAATTTTTAGTGTATTTGACTTTTTCAAAAGAAATTTCAGATTAAATTTTTTCTATAAATATAATTTTCATTTTTCGATAAATTTTTGTAACGATGTTATTTTTTATTACTATTTAGATATTAAGAACAAATTTAGAAAATAAAAAAAAATCATTTTGTCCAAAGAAATTATTAATTTTTACTATGTTTTCATGATTAATCCAAAAAATCCTTTAACTTATTTGTTTAATTAGATTTTTTTATATATTAAATATTAATTGATATATGTTATTCTATTTTATTTTTTTTAATTATTACCATCACTAAAACAAGTTCAGCTTTTATGCATTTTTAATGTATGTCTTTTGGGCCAACTGTTTCGAGCCACCCAGCCCAAAACACAAAGCAACAAAGGCTAGCTCAATTGTGATCGGACCAGCCAGCTGGACTGATGGTGATTCGTGAGTGGTTGTATCTGGGCTGATGGGCTTACTTTCGGAATGGGCTCAGAGTTTGGCCCAATTCAAGTTGCTTGCCTATGCTGTGCTCTTTTTGTTTGTTTCAATGGCTGCTACTTTCTCTCCTCAGAAAACAAAGAGGGTTAGAAATTAGAAGGTGATCATATGGAGTTTCTTCAGAGCCTCAGTTTTAGTAGTTGGCTTTTGCTTCATATATAGAAAACCAAGCGTTATTATTATTATTTTATTTTTTTTCACTCTGAAATGTTACCAAATGAGTGTGCAATTATATCATCTTGATATGGATCTAAGCTTCGTCGCTATTATCTTGCAATGCTTTGAATGCATCAAGTTTCCAACTCATCCTTCAATTATTTAGCATACGAATCACACGGACATATTATTGAAAAATGGCAATTTTTGCAGGTTGATGATTTAAAAATTGAAACTCTGCAAAGTTTGCATTGTAACGGGATCTCTTGTCTGTAGGAGGAGAAGCTATTCTCTTCTTTAATAGCATTAAGTCAGTGAACTTGTCTGTCTTCAGGGTAAGAGGAATCTTCTGTTCAGGTATTTATACAATGGTCACATGTAGAACGCTGTATTTTGCAGTGTCTCCGACTTAACATCTATTAGTTAATCAATATTAATATATAAGTGCATGATGGCTTCATATGTTGTCTTGAGAATAAGTACAGGCCCTAAGTTTTGATTTAATCATCAACCTAATGGCAGTTTTTAGAGCGACAGCTAGGATATGTATTCAAATTGACTTTCAATTAATGTGGGCTCAGTACTTGATTTGAAGAGGTTACAAATTATTATATTTTACTCCTCCTTCTCCTTCATCTTTTTTTCTTTCTTGTGCAGAAAGGAAAACTGGAAAAGTAAAACATGATTATATACAGGATTCATAACACTGCAGTTATACATATAACATGTTTAGAAATGCCAAATCTAAAACGTATTATAACACATTTAATTTTAGAATTGTCGATTTAAGTAAAAAAGAAAAAAAGTTATTAAGCAGGTGCTTTTCTTCTTTGTAAGTCTGGAAGTGATGGAAGTGAATATGTTTGTTTATAATTTACCTCCTCTTTCCTTTCACTTATTTTAGTGGTTAATATTTGAAGAAAAATTGAAATAGAAAGATGAGATTTGAGGGTACACAGGAACGCAAAAGAGACAGATTTTGAAGTAACTATAGTTTGGTCCTTGGATAATATATATTCAGTAAAAAAAAAGAAAGTAAAATTGGTTACATTCATATACAATTTTGTGACAATCATGGGGGAAAATTGAGTGCACAAAAATTGTGTAGATATTCTAGGATTAATGGTTGAAGATGTTGAGAAGGAAAACTCTGTTTCTAATTAGTTTTCTTGAGAGCTGCTCAATTCCTGTTTCTAGATCCTGAATGCACATCTCCAAATTTTCCATATGGGTCTGAAAATTTTCAATAGATGAAGACTGGCGACTGATGAGAGACTGCAAAGCTGCATCCACCTTTTCAAATTCATTAGTGTTTGAATCTTGAGAGTCACAAGTAGCTCTTTTAGTCTGCATCAACTTGGATATTACTGACCATCTGCTCTGTTTTGAGTGTCCTTTTGGGTCAGATATAAACAGGAACAAATGTTCTAGTGAGTTCAGGGTGATTGCTTCTGCTTCTTTTAAGAAGCTAAGCATTGGTGAAGTGTTGTTGTCTTTGTTTGAGGAAGAAGCTATGAGCTCATGTTTTATTCCTTTCAAATTCTTCAAGGCATTTTGAATTTCCTTCTTCATCTTCTTCCTTGAAGCCAAGTATATTTCACCATCAACTGTGAATCCAGTTACATCTCCTCTCCTTCGTCGAATGACTGACTGAAGCTTGTGCATGCTTTCCTTTGATTGCAGTAGGCAATCTCTAGTTATACTGCAGATGTCCAAGAGCCTCAGAGACCCTTCTAGTAGGTTATCAAACCATTTTTCATTGCACTCCAGTGCTAAGGTTTGTTGTTTGATTGGCAATTGCAGCAGTTTATCAATGCAGTCATGCAAATCCTGTATGCCACTAATTTTTTGGCTTACTGAAGATGATGAAAATGAAGAGGTGGCTTCAGAACCCTTCAGTCTTTGCAAATGCTCCTCAAATTGTGATACAAATGGGTGAGCTGCAGAAGGCAAACTGTTGCAGCGAGTATGCAGAGAGCTCTTTGTGTTTGTTTCAATGGTTGCCATGTTCTCTTCTAAGAAAACAAGAGGGTTAGAGGGTAATAAGATATATTGTTCAGAGCTTGAGTTATAGTGGTTGGCTTTTGCTTCATATATAGGCATATAGCACACGAGTTAAGGGAGACAAGTAAAATATCTTTTCCCTCAAATGTCACCTAATGAGTATGCAATTAAATCATCTTGATTTGGATCTCTGCTTCCTTGCTATTGTCTGGCAATGCTTCCCATGCACCCAGCTTCCAACTCATCCCTCAATTTTTAACTTGGCAACCACGTGGATTCTATAAAAGGGCATCTGTGCAGGTTGCTAATATAAAATTCCAATCCCTGCTGGTCATGCATGATAATGGTAATGGTATCTCTTGTTTGGTGGAGTAGAAGCTATTCTATTCTTAAATAGCATGCAGTCTTCGAACTTGTCTGCCTTCAGCAGATCAATTAGGGGCAAGAGGAATCTTCTTGTTTAGGTATTAATACAATGATTACATGATGATGGCTTTATTTTGCAGTGTTCCCATCTTCATATCTATTAATTAATTAATATTAATATAAATGCGTGTTTGCTCCAGATTTTATAATGAGCTTTATTCTATGATAATATACTTTTTCGCTTGTCCTCCTTACATGAATACAACACGATGCTTTTTCGTTATCCTTAGCATATAAAACTGGAGAACCTGTGCAGGCATTGAGTTTTGGTTTAATCATCAACCTAAAGGCAATTTATGTTTGACAGGTTGGATAGGCATCCCAATTGACCTTGATTATCACATGGGCTCAGTACTTGATTTGCAAAGGTTTCAAATTATATTATTTTACTCCTCTTCCTCTTTTATCCTTCATTTTATTTTTCAAAGAAGGAGAAATGAAACTTTATTAAGAGATAAGATTAGCCAGATGGCATTGGTACCTATAACATGTTTACAAATGCAAAAAATATAATAGACCATACCATATATAGGTGGACTACATGAAAAAGTTATTAAGCAGTTGCTTTTATTTTTTTTGTGACTCTGAAAATGAAAAAGGTTTGTTTACTCATTTATCTTCTCTTTCTTTTCATTATTATAATGGTGAATATTTGGAAGAAAAAGAGAAATTGAAATATGAGATTTTGAGGGTACACAGGAACTTGGTAAAAGAGATAGATGTTGATGTAACAACAGCTTGATCCTATAGATAATATATTCAGTAAAAAAAATAATCACATTCATGTACAGTTGTGTGACACTCATAGGGAAAAAAAAAATGAGTCCACAAAAATCTCAATAGATACTACGATTGGTGGCTGAAGATGTTAAGAAGGGAAACTCTGTTTCTAATTAATTTTCTTGAGAGGTTCTCAACTCCTATTTCTAGATCCTGAATGCACATCTCCAAATTTTCCATGTGAGTTAGAAAATTTTCAATAGATGAAGGCTTGTGGCTGGTGAGAGACTGCAAAGCTGTATCTACTTTTTCAAATTCATTTGTATTTGATTCTCGAGAGTCACAGACTGCTCTTTTAGGCGTCATCAACTTGGGTATTGCTGACCATCTGCTGTGATTTGAGTGTCCTTTTGGGTCAGAGATAAATAGTAATAAACTTTCTAATGATCTCAGGGTTACTGCTTCTGCTTCTTTTAAGAAGCTATGCATCGACAAAGTGGCTTTGTCTTTGTTTGAGGAAGAAGCTCTGTGCTCATTTTTTATTGCTTTCAAATTTTCCAGGGCCTTTCCAATTAGCTTCTTCATCTTCTTCCTCGAAGCCAAATATTTTACACCCTCAATTGTGAACTCATTTTCATTGCCTTTCCTTCTTCGGACGACTGACTGTAGTTCGTACATGTTTTCCTTTGATTGCAGAAGGCAATCTTTAGCTGTACTACAGATATCCAAGAGCCTAAGAGACCCTTCTAGTAGGTCATCGATCCATTTGTCTTTGCACTCTCGTGCTAAGGCTTCTTGTTCTATTGGCAGTTGAAGCAACCTATCAGCAGAGTCATGCAAAGCCTGCATGCCATTAAGTTTGTAGGTTACTGAAGATGATGACAATAAAGAGGTGGCCTCAGAACCCTTCAATCTTTGTAAATGCTCCTCAAATTGTGATACAAGTGGGTGAGATGCAGAGGGAAAGCTATTGCTGCGAGTATGCAGAGAGCTCTTTGTGTTTGTTTCAATGACTGCCATTTTCTCTTCTCAGGAAAGAGAGGGTTAGAAGATGATAATATATAGTTTGTTTCAAAGCCTGAGTTTTATGTTTGGCTTTTGCTTCATATATAGCAAACGAAACAATGAATTATGGGAGACAAGAAGAAATTTTTTACCTCAAATGTCACCTATGGAGTATGCAATTATATTATCTTGATTTGGATATCAGCTTCCTCACCATTATCTGGCAATGCTTCCCATCCACCAAGCTTCCAACTCATCCCTCAATTTTTTACTTGGGAATCCCATGCACCATTAACTTGATTCTTGCAAAAAGGCATCTTTACAATATAATAATACATACTGTTTAATGCATCCATTGTAATGGGAGCTTATATCTAGAGGATGAGAGGACAGACTAAGGGCCAGCTATGAAATTGTCTGACATAATGAACTTTCAACCTATGAAATTGTCTTCCTACAACAGGACAGATTAAGGGCCATCCACTAATATATTGGTCACTTGTTGGTGACGATGTTTATGCAGTGTCCCCAGCTCAATACCAATTAATTAATCCTCTTCTCCTACCATTTTGTATGTTGTTAATCACCTGTCTCATTAACACGTGAAGAACTAATTGATGCAAATTGGTTTGAAGAAGTTCAAATTATATATATGGGTTTAGTGAGTATCAAGTGACTTGATGTAAATTAGGTCCAGTGCACTATATTCTCCCGCGAGAATATAGTGCACAAAAAATTTTGCCTATGTTCTCCTGGGAGAACACCTGCAGAACACCATTGTAATGTTTTTGCACTATATTCTCGCGGGAGAATATAGTCAAAATTCACTCACTGGACAGTCTAGTGACTGAATTTTGGATTTTTTGTATATATATATATATATATGGGAAATGATCCGTTTACAAATTTTTTTTACAAATTACACTAAGTATGATCGGTCATACACTCTTGATTGAAATATGACCGGTTATACTTAGTGTACTCTGTAAACAAAAAGTTTGTAAATATAACATTATTATATATATATATATATATATATATATATATATATATATTCAAAATCCTTGTGCTTGTTTGGTTTTAAAAATGTGTTTTTTGTTTTGTTTACCAAAAAAAAGTGTTTTTTGTTTCAATTTTCTGTTTTAAATAATACTTGCAAAAAATGACTCATAGTTTTCGTCTGTTTCCTGTTTTCAAAATGAAAACAATGTGACAATTTTTTTATTATTAGTGATACAGAAACCCGCATGCCCTTTTATTTTAATCTTGTAGCCTTTTCTTTTGATACTGTGATCCAAATATTAGATAGGACAGCTCGGAAAACAGGTATGCATTGCTGTCTTGCCATTTTTATCACTCTCTTTGTAATCGGAAAGGTCAAACCTTCTTCCTTAGGTTTGTCCCATTCCCTTCAAAGAAAGGAAGACTAATTGGTAGCATACGACAAGGTGATTATGGTGGGTTGGTATACATTGGGTGAGACCTATGGGGTTATATTAATCTAAACCAATCTTACGGTCAGGGGATGTTATAGCAAAACCATAGGTGTGATCGACGTTGTCTAGTTTCAAGTTTCAACTACCTTTTGCCACTCAATATTTGCATTAACATGGCGAGTTTACATTTGAAATTACCTATAGGTTTAAGCAGCAGTCTTCTTAATAAAGTGTTGGTTTGAAAGGGAGTTTTTTAATGCGTATTTGGAGTTGGACAAGGCCGAAAATTGAAGGTATATGAAGTTTCAAGTTTCTTTGGCATCTCACCCATAAAATATTATTAGTATTAGGCATCAATGTGACAATGATTAGGCCTATGTCTTCAGTTTATCATTTGATATTTATCCTAATTGCGAAATAGAAGTGGAAGCAAGCGTTCTGCGTTCATGCTATTATTAGCCCACTAGTAATACTAGCTGTCTTGTATGGGCAAAGGAAATAATGACTTCTTTAGACACTCTGGTCAAAGAAGAGACCTTGATATCACGAGAGTGCTTGAGAAATTTAAAAGATACCTGTATATACTTGAAGCCAATAGCACTTTATTTAAGGGGTTTCTATCATCAAAATCAATGACCGGAGATGTTTGGTAGATGAAATTTTTTTTTTATCCGAGAATTATAATTTATGGGAATATGGTGGAAAAAAAAAATTCCGCGAATGTTATTAAAAAATTATTTGGTAGGACAAAATTTTTCGGAGAATATTGAGTTAATTTTTTTGATGTTATGTTTGATTTATTGTAAAATATTGTTGGAAATATAGATTGAAATTATAAAATTACCCTCGATTTAACATAAAGCAGTAACTTTTTCTTTTTCTCTCTCTCTTGTGATGCACCACCATCTTCTTCTGATGCCCCTTTTGCATTATCAGAAAATGGAGCAGCTAACAAAAGAAAAAGAAGACCAGCAGGCACACCTGGTAAGATAGATAGCTACAGAAAAAGAAATAAAAAAAATTCCCTTTTTTTTATTTTTTACATGGGGTCGGATTTTTCTTAAGTTTCAAGCTTTTATTTATAATCTCCTTTGTATATATGCAAATCCAGGTGCTGAGGTTATGTCTCTCTCACCCAAGACCTTGCTAGAATTTAATAGGTATATGTGTGTGAGATCTGCAACCAAGGTTTTCAGAGAGACCAGAACCTTCAAATGCATAGGAGAAGGCATAAGGTGCCATGGAAATTGCTGAAAAGGGAAACACAAGGGCAGAAAAAGAGGGTGTTTGTAACATCCCCGTCTCGAGCCGGTTAGTTAACATACATATGGTATTAAAGCGCAGCAAAAATTAAAATGCGGAAGCATAAGACTCAATTAAACTTCGTAGTTATGTTACGTAACTTAGTGAGCTAACTTTTTCCTTTTCTACTTCACTTTATTAAATTCACAGCATATAAATTTTTCTATAATTTCAACCAAAAAAAAAAAAATTTCTATAATTATTAAGACTGTATCATCCCATTAAGATACAAAATTCTTTTCACTAGCTTATTTATATAGAAACCATTAGTAATGGTCAATGACCATTGGAGTATGATGACTGGTATCATCCCTGATGGAGACAAATCGGATAGCATAACGACCGTAAACTGGACAATCCTGGTATTTAATCCCCCTCTTTAATCATATCCTGATATAGAGGCAGTCCAACATAACTTTACAAATACAGATAGTCCAACAAGGACCTAAAACCTATCCATGGGCACATGCTTAATTGGTTCCGTGCCATTACATATACTAATATATACATATTACAGACACATTTTTCTCACAGAATAAATACATATAGTCATGCTTGCTTATTGAATATACATCATCATGTCGGAATAATCTTTCAAAATAGATACAGGCTATATGTAGCAAAGTGATCATACATTATGACCCTCGAATAAATATAACATAGTCCCAAAAAGTGGACTATCAAATCAACTAAATCAGCTCTGCCACTCAGCATCGCAACCTTGGCCCTAGAGGGCTCTCCACGATCTGCACACCTGAAATCATGTCAGCTGAAGGGGGTAAGATAACAAATCTCAGTAAGCTCAAGGTTTATAGAGCAATCCTCATCCATGAGCCCACTTCCTGCAAGAATGGTCAGATACAAAGCATAGATATACATCATATACTGAACATATCACATCATAGCAGAGCATATCAGACATATGTGACCTCCAAGAGCTTAAGTCCTCCAGTGGATTAGTCAACATATGAAAGTGGCTCCCAAGAGCTTAGGTCCTCTAGTGGGATAATCACAAACATGTACGCAGTGACCTCCAAGAGCTTAGATTGTAACATCCCGGGCGCTGACGAGGGCGGGGAGTGATTGCTGGTGCGAAAGAGCATGGACAAAGAGCGACTCCTACCAGGCTTCCAACGGGGGGTTATATGAATGAATCGAATCGACACCCGAAAGAGAGGGATTTCAAAGACTGTACAGTTTGGGATAGCTTATAAGAATTAATTAGTACTACATATACTAACAAGATGCATCTACTTTTCGGTAGCCCAGATCAGAAGAACTCCATAGTTAAGCGTGCTTGACTTGCAGTAATTCTGAGATGGGTGACCTCCTGGGAAGCTTTTCCAGGAGGTGTGCGAGTGAGGAAAAAGCACACTGAAAAGTCTCGTGTTAGTGTTGTGGGGATAGTCATTGATTCTTGAAGCGACCGAGCGTTACATAGATCCTCCAGTGGATTAGTCATCGCACACACGATCAATGGCCAGGAACCGCATACATATCACAGCATCATACATATCATACCACATCATCATACATGTCATATGACATCATCTTATCATATATATCTATATGAATGCACCTACACCAGGTATTAGACGTACAATCATACAGTTATACCAACCATAGTCCCACTTGACCATGGTGGAGCATACAAAGTGAGGAGAGTTCCTTAAACCGGAAGCTTACCTCTTGAAGCTTTACCAATTGCTTACTTGATTCCCAAGATAGCTAAACACCTCCCTCCAAAGCTTGGTCCACAAACTTCGAATCCCTAGGCACAAACCTAGAGGAGGAATCCATGACAACAATCATCACATAATCCAATTGCCAATTTAATGCCAAACACAAGTCATTACTAATTTCCTTTAAAACTAAACATATAGGACTAATACGGATGATTACTTGTTCCACAAGTTATTGTCTATTAAGTGATTTAGAAGGCCCAATTAGGGTTCAACAATTCAAACATCACTTAGGCTACTCAATTTAACTCTACAGAGTCCATTTATCCTAGGCATTATTCAAATGAGCCAAAAATACAAACATACCTTATTTGTTACCAAAGAGGCCAAGCCTATGCATAGGGCCATAGGGTTTTTATGTTATCAAATCAATAACCAATGAACTATACTACTCTAACTTAGCCCACAAGTTACTTGCTATAGCAGGTAAACAATTTAAACTCATCTCTTGTCTCATCTTCCCACACAAGGCCGTGTCACGTATAATACCCCAAACTTAAGCATTTAATTGATTAATTTTAATTAAATAATTAAGCATGTTTTAGTGAGTAAAATTAAGTATAGGGCTTAATTAAATGAATTTGAGTCACTTTGGAGTTAAAAAATGTACTCAGTGGAAATTAAGGGGTATAAATGGGTACTGGCGAAAATGCCCAAAATATAAAAATATAAATATAAATATTCCTAGAATAATATTCCAGACTTTTGGGTAAAGTTTGGTAATTAATGGAGTTGAATAGATAGATGAACTAATACCCACATGTTACCACTTAACTTATGTTAAGTGATAAAACAAGAAAGAAACCCAAACCCCCCCCCCCCCCCCAAGAAACCGTCGACAGAAAGAAAAGAAGGGGAAAGGAGAAGAAGGAGAAAGGAGGGAGAAGGAAGGGAGGAAGAGAGAGAGAGCTATTATCAACCGATTGGAGCGATTCAAAAGCCTAAATCACTTAGAATCTCGCCCTCATCATTAATCCTAGCTTAGTTCTTAGTGGGGAGCTTTGTGTGGTGAGATATTGCCCCTCAAAAATTTGGCCCTTTGGAGAAATTGAGGTGTTTGAGAGCTTCAACCTTCATTGAAGCTTGAGGTGCCATCAATCCTTGGTTGTGTGACCATTGGTGGTAAGATTCTAACCCTTGAACCTTGTTTTCTTGGAAAATTTCATGGTTAGGGTTTAATGAATAGTGTTTTAGGGTTTTTATGAAATGTTAAGTAGATTGGCTATGTTCAAGGAAGAATGAGGCTTAGAGTATGTTGTGAAAAATGCTAGGAATGACATTTAATCAGTAGAAATGAGTTTATAGTGTTATTTTAGTATGCTTTGATGTTTTGAGAAATCTAGGCTTGGAACTATGGATTTCCTTGCATTGTTAGCATTGTTTGATTGTATTCCTTGTGTTGATAGGATTGAGGCAAGAGGACCAAGTGGAGTGACCAACCCTTGGGGTTGTGTGCAATTGAGGAAAGCTCAAGAGCAAGGTAAACCTTTGGACCTTGTGGTTGATCCCATTGAGTGTTCCACCATACTCCGTTGAGGAGAAATGGTTTATGAGATGTGATATGTAATTATGATAGTAATTGTATGCTCATGCATTGATTCATGCATTGATACATGTTATGATTGATTGATGATTATTGGTTGATGTTTGATTGTTTAAGAGTAATTGAGGAATGATTATAGAAGTAGCAATAATGAATGAGGTAATGGTTGAGGATTGTGATTGAGGTTATGAGTGATAGTATTATGATGAGGATGATTGGTAGGAACTTCCCTTGGAAACAGATGTGGATCTCCATGTGGTTAGATGTGGATCCCTCTTGGAGGTTCCTAGATTGAGGAAAGGACTTCCCTTGGAAACAGCCCTATGTGGATCTCCATGTGGTTAGAGCCTAAGAGGAACAGCCCTATGTGGATCCCTCTTGGAGGTTCCTAGATTGAGGAAAGGACTTCCCTTGGAAACAGCCCTAGGTGGATCTCCATGTGGTAAGAGCCTAAGAGAAACAGCCCTTTGAGGATCTCTCTTGGAATAGATTGAGGAAAGGACTTCCCTTGGAAACAGCCCTATGTGGATCTCCATGTGGTAAGAGCCTAAGAGAAACAGCTCATAGTGGATTTCTCTTGGAAGTCCATGTGATGCTTGTGGATAAGAATGTGTTAAGCTATTATGATTATGTGTACATCAAAGTGAACCTTAGGGTGGAGTGATCTCCAAGGACCTCTGGTTTACTGTGATATATTCGTATATCTCACCCCGTGTTGTGGGGCATCATTTCAGGTACTGATAGAGGTGAGGTTGATCGAGGCAAGAAGCGTGAGTAGACTGTACCTGATAGCTGGACATGTTGAGTTGCATGCCATTTAGCATTGCTATATGTATATTTTGATGTCATATGATGTATTTTGGAGGACTTAGTGCATGATCATTGTAGTAGTAATGGGTATCTGATACATGGTTACTTGCTTTGATCATGTTCATTTTGTAGCTAAGTCCTTTGGCATGTATATGAGATTTGTAATTAAGACATGATGTAATATTGTAAGTAATGAAGATATTTGTGTATGATGATTATTGTAAGTTAAATGCATGAATGTATTTTTATGTATTGGATATGTTGAGCTGGAAAGTCAATTAGGTACCTTGTGCTAAGTTGGGAAACGTTGAGAAAACAAAGATTATGCTGCCCAATTTCCGTTAAATCAGTGATGAGAGGATGAGAGTTAAGCAATGATATAGGGATATCACAAGCTTGTTAAATAGGTTGTAAAATGTGTAGGATTGATTCCCCAAGAAAGATGCATGAAAAATATGAGTATAGGAAATTGCCCAGAAGAGGGGGCTTAAGCCTGCAAATGGAGGCTTAAGCCTGCTCAGGGGGCTTAAGCGCCCATGAGGGGGCTTAAGCGCCCTGATGCACCTGTGAAGACCAAAAGCTTTCTGCCGCCTGGGGCTTTAGCGCCCAGGTAGCGCGCTTAAGCGCCCTTGGTGGCCAAAAATGTGAATTCCCTCTGTCTGTGGGCGCTTAAGCGCCCTGGAGCGCGCTTAAGCGTCCTGCCCGCGTAGTTTTTCAGCATACACCTAAGTTAGTAAAATTGTCATAACTTGAGCTACAGAGCTCCAAATGAGGAGCGGTTTGAAACCACGCGTAGCTAACAAAGAGATCTACAATATAGTAGAAGTTGGGAAATAAATAAGAAGTAAATTAATGTTTTAAAAATGGAATAAGAACATGATATTAAGCTTGGTTTATCTGATTCCGCAAAGTAATATGGTTATGATCACGCAATTGGGCATTATAAATTCCGCATGTTTTAAAATGAAAAATTTTATCCGAATTTTTAATTGAGCCAATGTGATTGTAACTACGCTTAATATCATAATGCGATGTTAACAAACCGGTTCTAGAACGGGGTGTTACATCACGCCTATAGGAGGGCCAAGGTCCATTTCATACTTTATTATATTCTAATTACATTGAAGAGTGTTTATTATTCATTACTCCTCAACCATACTCACAATTAGGGTCATTAAACTCTTATCAAATATTAATCCCCAACTTAACCTTTAGGCACTTAGTACTTTTCTTTGGCATTCCATGATCAATAATTCATGGAATCCACAATTCATATAGCATTTAACACCTAGCATTACTCATTAGCACCATCAATCAACTCAAGTCATGATTTTTCACATAAAGGGCCTAGAATTAACATTGTAGGTATAAGGCACCATCTAAGCATCTCATGACCAACCAACACATTAAACCCTCAACTTACATAACACATAGTAGTACTCAAATCACCATTTTTATAAAAAATTGGCCATAAGGCGGAGAATGCATATATATATATATATATATATATATATATATATATATATATATATATATATATATATATATATATATATATATGCATTCTCAATTGTCAAGGATTCTTAACTTGAACTTCAAGGACCAATAGGGTATTTGTCCTTCCATCAATCAATGAAGACTAACACAATTGCAAGTCCCTTTTCACCATATAGGCCAAAGGCACACCTAGGCAAGTCAAGAAGGATTTTCAAACTTTCATGCAACATTGACATGATTTATCCCATCTAAATCAATTCCACAACACATAATAGGCCTAGGATACCATTGACATAATTTTAGAACATCAATTCCCTTTATTTTTCTATGATGGCCGAAGGCACACCAAAGAGGGTCATGAAGATTTTTCCATCAAACATACATGTTGCACCATTCTAAATTCATTCAACAACACATAACAAGTCTATTATATCCATCATGTGAATTTAACATAACAAATCCCCACATTCCTTGTGTTGGCCGAAAATTATATATAGGGTTTCCAAACCATTTTCAAATTTCCAACACATCCAAACTTGCATTCATACTCCTATGACCATAATCTTTCACACCATCACTCTACCCGATTCAAATTTCAAAATCCATGACTTTCCCCCCAATATGTTCATGAACAAAAAATCATGGAACCAAACATTAAAACCATAGGAATTAAGCTCTCTTACCTTGAGTGGTTTCTACTCCACCAATGCTTCAAGTTCCATGGACTAAATCACCCAAAATCATGAAGATTCCCCTCTTGATGAATAGTAATTCAAGCCACTATAGAGAGGATATCTTCCACCACAATGCTTCCTAACAATCAAAAGTTAGGAGTTTTGATCCTAAGAGGCTAATGGACAACTTTCATGTTGGAGGTTATGAATGGAAATAAATGGAAATGGAGAAGAAATGAAACAGATACAAACCCTAAGGAGGAGGAGGTGGTCAGGGGTTCTATTGGAGGAAGGAAGGAGAAGATGAAATTTGGTGTTATGTCTTCTCACTCATTGCCATGTGTAACATCCCCGTCTCGAGCCGGTTCAATTAACATACACATGATATAAACAGAAACAGCGGAAGACTTAACCTACGAAAATATGAGCTAACTTTTTCTTTTTCTAACTTAATTCTTACTCGGCGTAAACGAAAATCGGACAGAGTTTCCTCTATAAATCGGACAACTGGGGATTTTCCAATCCCACTCAGAAGCATTTCCTGATAAACAGTTTATACAACATATCAATTCAGAAATACCAGATATCCAAATATAATCAAATACCCATACATGGGCGCATGCATAACATGGCTCCGTGCCACTAAATCTAACAGCATGCCATCAAAACATAAACCTATCTGAATACTACCTCATCATATAACGTGCCTGAATACCCAAATGTACATGCATCAAAGCGACAGACATGTACAAAACATATACAGGCCATATACACAATAAAGGATCAATATCATGATCCATCAAATGCGAAAATACTAAAATACATCAAACACTCCAAAAAGGTAGTAGCCTACAGCCACTCAAAATCCAATCTGTCAACTGCCTCAGCCACGTGTCGTGTCCCTGCCTAGTGAGGACTCACCGGGAATCTGAGCACCTGAAAATATGTCCCCAAAGAGGGGTGAGATTACAAATCTCAATAAGCTCCAGGTTTATAGAGAATTCTCCATACCCCTGGCTCACTCCTGCATGAAAGTCAGATACAGAGTATACAAATACAACATATAACAGATATCATAACAGAACAGAGCATATATCCATATCATATCAGAGATGTGCGCCGTCATTCCCAAGGGAGGACCCCAAGCGGAAATCAACGCACGTGTTCCCGAGGGAGGACCCCAAAGCGGAACCAGACATATCAGAGGAGTACACCATCAGTCCCGAGGGAGGACCCCAAAGCGGACGTCCGGGTACTATACAATCAATGGCCAGAGATTGTTACAGAAATCAAATTACAGAAGTCATATCAGAGCAAAACATATCATGTTATCAAATAACTCTATATGAATGCATCTATACAAAGCATCTAAATCACAGTCATACAGTCCAACCATAGTTCACTAACCATGGTGGAGCACTCAAGCAGGAAAAGACTCCTTAAACATAGAGCTCACCTCTTGAAGCTTTACCAATACGCTTACTTGTGGAACAAGTTACTTTTATCGCTTCAAGAGATTTCCGATCCTTCTCAATCCCTAGGCACACCTAGAGAATAATTTACAATGCATCAATAAAATGATGCAATACCATAATTATTTCATAAGCATACATTTTATCGCTTATTTTCCTTTCTTTGCATTTTTGCCAATCCTATGCCAATACACAAGTCTAGACCTCTTTATAACCGTTGGTGTTCTTTAATTTAATCAACCATTCCCTTAGGAATTTTCAACATAAATCATGCTATTTTTCTTCAAAACTCATCACCTTTATACAATTTATTACAACACATTTTATTTAAAATAAAATGTGCAAAATATATCCCTAAATACCCTATAGGTCGAACACTATAAGGAAATAGGCAAGGGTTCTTTTCTTTTTAATTAATGTAACTTACACATACAAATGTATGTTTCCCTATTATTTCAACTTAATGTTTGGACATCAAGTCCTTCCCAACACCTCAAGGCCGAAGTGTAGGATCCAAAATACATAGGATTTTTCCCTTTTGGCCTTCTCACTAATTTCACCAATTCTATTCTCTCTCAAGCACCTTAGGCTCTCTTAATACATCATATAAATTTTTTGCCCAATGGTCCCTATTCAACCTATCATGGCCGAACTTAGGGGAGTGCAAACCAAGGGAATTTTTCTTCATTTAACACATGTTGATGTTTCTCTTCTACACTAAGACTTCCTGTACAAAACAAGCCATCATAATTTTCAAGTTTTATACTACTTTCTTTCTCACCCACACATGCTCACAAATTCAAAACATAGATCACAAAATAAAATCATAGGATTAGAGTTTTGTTACCTCTAATCACCTATCCAAAACCTAGAAGACATTCACCAAGAGAATCTCCATCAAAAGCTCCATTTTGCCTTCTTGATGAATAGTGCCACGCAAAGGGGGAAGAGAATATCTCCTCACACAAACAATGATAGTTCAAACTAATGGTGGGAATGGATTCATTGGACCTTTTCCTATGAGTTTCATGTGTAGCATAAAGCTTTTTGATGATCAAATGAGTGAGAATGGAAGGAAGAAAGAAAACAAAATGAAACCTAAGCCAAACCTTCCATGTGAGACAACCACGGGAATGACGAGAAGAATGAAGAAAAGCAACGCATGAGAGAGAACTTTAAAGGGAGTTATGGCTTTTATAAAGTTAACTTATTTTAACTGGGTAAAGGTTTATCTATTTACACACCTCCATTCATTACTAAACTTTGCACACTAGTCCAGAATATTTTTATGCTAAAATTTATAATTTTACTTTTTACTTTCGGGTAACTTTATTTACCCGCATTTTTACTCCTTAACTGTCATTTTAACTCCTTTTTCACCAAATGTGACTTTATTTCTTTTACTTCTAATTATTCTTCGATATTATATCCACAATTACTAGTAAGGGTTATTATACCATGTCACTTAAGTGGGTGAGCATTTGAGTTGACTTTGACTTTGACTTTACTCTACATAACACTTCTAACTTAAACCACTTATAACTTAACCCCACAAACATAAGTTAATAATTATGACATCATTTACATAATTGCCTCCTTTCAGAGTTTTTTCGGTAATTTTCACTGCAACATTTTACCCGACAGAATTTTACTATTCACACTTTTTATCGAAAGGTATCAAAATGCTCTAAATCATAAGCTTATATCAATTTTACCATTCTTATTACCAAAATAATCTTTGTTCATATTATATTAATTCTATGATTTACTTATCATAAATACCCATTAAATCACTTAATAGTGTGGGTTTTTGCGGAATTGTTGTAGCGGTTAAATTACTTGTTGTAACACATTCTCATATTTACTTGATTCTTGTACTCTTGACTTGTTATTGTTTGCCTTGACGATGTGGGTTGTTATAGTGTTTGTTTGCCCAGAGCCAAGCTGTTTGCATCGTGACCTATGCCACACCGTGGAGTGGAATAAGCATAAGACAAAATGAGGTCAGAAACAGAGTTTTGTGTCGTTCCCATAGGTCTCAGGGCTTTTTGTCTGACAGAACTGAAACTCCTTTCCTATGCAGTGGGAAAAATAAAAATATCTTGGGTGATATGGTATTTTCTTTTGGGAATATGTAGTGTAAAATCAAAAGATGGGAAAAAAAGTTTCTTGGGAATATTATCAGTTTCCCTCATACCAAACATTGAAAATTATTTTCCCCCATCTCACTTTCCCAGGATTTCAAGCAAAATCCTCATACCAAACAGCCCCTAAGGTCATTTAACCTTGGGACCAGCAGTACAAAAAGATGCAGAAAAAGAAAACGCCACGGATAACCATCAGGTAGGAATTAGCATATATCTTGGTATGTGTGCCACATATAAGCTTGGGAACTTGGTTTTTCAGCCATAACAGAAAAGGTTTTCAATTTGAAATGGAATATACATCAGAGAGCCAAAATTATGCCAAGTCATACGTGCAAGGAAAGAGTTAAAGAGGAAATAAAAAATATATTAACAGACAAAGGTAGGGAATACTTTTCATCTAAAACTAAATATCAGAAGCTAATTTCTCTGACATAATTACAAAACATTCAGGGGGATTTGTACAACTAGTGATTGAGGATGTTGAGAAGGGAAACTCTAATTTTGATAAATCGTTTAAAAAGAGTTTCAAGTCCTTCCACAAAGTCCTGAATGACCGACTCCAAGTTTTCTAATTGGTTCTGAAAATGATTGATGTTGTCTGACTTTGTTGTCATGCGAAATACAAACGACTGCAATGCAGCATCTACTTTGGAAAATTCATTCTGATATGCTTCTTGTGTGCAAGAAACTTTTTTGTTGAGCATTAGCTTGGAAACCAAAGACCAATTACTTGGTTTTGATTGTGCTGGTCCAGAGATGAATTTCAGCAGTGACTCCAAAATAGAAAGAGTGATTACTTCCACATCTTTTAACAGGCTAACCAAGGTCACCATCTGGTGGTCCTTGTTTCTTGGAGAGAATTTTCCTTTCTTCACAGTCACCTTCAAATTCTCCAAGGCTTTGAGGATTGCCTTTTTTACTACCTTCCTAGAGGCCAGGAATTTCCTAACCTCTGCTGTCACCTCCACTTCACCACCCCTTTTTCTTCTTATGATTGATTGAAGTTCACGTGCACATTCCTTTGTATGCAGTAGAGCATCCTTTGCTACAGTACAAACATCTAAGAGCCTTAGAGATCCATCCAAAAGCTCATCTACCCATTTCTCTTGACGTTCTTGGACCAGGACTTCTTGAGTAAGGGGTAGTAGAACCAACTTTTCAACACAATCATGCAAAGTCTGCAGACCAGTTAGTTTGTGGCTGAACAATAATGATGAAGAGGAAGTTTCATCTGAAGCCTCTAAACTGCCCAAGTGTTGATTGCATAGTAGAATAAGAGGGTGTGGTCTAGTTGGCAAGCTGTTTGAGCGAGATTGGTGATGGGATGTTGGGCTAAAAGGAGTGGCTGCCATTTTTCCAGAGAAGAAAAAAGGTCTTAAAGGTTGAATATGCACAACTGAGTCTTTGGATATACCTTCCTTCCACTGAGATTAGTTCAATATATATTGGTCGTTCAGGAGACAGAAGGAATCAAATATTGACAAAAACCACGAGGGCTAACTGATTTAGATTCAGATCTATCAAATATAACTGAGTAATGTTCATTCAATGTCTCTTGCACAGGAACACTCCAACTCAAGACTTAATATATTTTTTTCTTTTAACACACGCTTGCAGTAATCATATTGGTGTGCTCAACAAGTTTCAACTCACGAGTGGTGTTGCCAGGTCTTTCTTCATTGCAATAAATGCACGTATAAAATTACATTGTGCAAATAGAATAACCTTAAATGTGAATCATCAGCTGCGTCAGCATAAGTGGAATCATATGAATCACTTATGGGTTATAAATGAACTATAATACAGATTGAATTAGTTGTACATATTAGCAACTGCTCTGAAGTCTTTGAGGAACAAAATAATAATGAAACATATTATATAAGGTACTGACTACTAATTGGTTTGACCCTCATTACAGGAAGGTAACAATCACGTTGGGCATTGAATTTTAGCACATAAAATAAGAGAACATGTGCAGGCCCTTAATTTTGACAATTGTTTAAACATCATATACGTAACTGCACTTGTAATCTTGACAGCGGGGCTATGGATTCAAATTGATTTTATTTTTATTTTTTTTGGAGATATTCATTCAAATTGATTTTGAATCCCATGTGAGCGTTGTTCCTACCTCTACTGGGCCGGGTGCTTCGTTATCGATTTGGTGTGCCAAAACAGTCCATGCATAATAATTGTTATGAAGAGGTTTCTAATTATCTATCCTCCATTTTTATTTTTATTTTGGCAAAAATGAGAAACAAAACTTTATTAAGAGATATGAATAGAAACAGGGTGGTCGAATATTTACTTATTTAGAAATACATTGGTTATGGAATAGATAATTTCATCAAACAAAATAAGAAAATGTTATTCTTGTTGGGAATGGTAAACGAGGAGCCCAAAACTCTTTCAAAGTGATACTTCTAGGGGTATAAATAACTCAGGCGGCTTATCAGAGGCCTACAGATCAAACTTGACCTATTATATCTCGTAAAATAAAATAGGTCCAAGTGTTGAAAATTTTTTATTTAGAAAGCAGGGTTAAAGGTTTTTTTTATTTATAACGCTATAGGTTAGCCTACCTATATTGGGCTAATAGAACAGGACAGACTTAAAATATCTTATACTAGCTTATTTAAGGCAAAACATAATCTAATCCAGCTCATTTACACCCATAGATACCTTCACCAAGTGATCAAATGAGAAACCACAGCAAATAGACTAACACCACATCTCAACCTAAAATTTAAGGATGTAAATCTATGAGTTTTTTACATTTATATGGTACTCATTTGCTCTATGTCTAACCAATGTGGGACTTTATCACTACTCTTACTTGAATATTTCTAACATCTTCCCCTCATGTATGAGTCCTAACATCATGTTCTTCCTAAGAGCAACTTTCCTCTTCAAGTATTGGAGTTATAATAGCCTTTTGTGGAAGTTTCTCCAAATACTAAGACCAGCCCAACCATTGGCTCTTTTTGAATATCATGTCGTTCGCAGAAAACTTCAAACTCTTTTGACACCATGATCCATGCGAAGGTCTGCATCTTCCTTCCTATCTCATTCTCCACACAAATTTTAAAATTTTTAAATGTAGAAAAAACTTCTGATTTTTCCTATAAAAATTAAACCCAAGTATTTTTAAAAAAATAAATCTTCAATAAAGATAATTAAATACTTTTTTGCCTTCATTAGAAATTGAGTTTATCATATCACAAATATCCGAATGTACCAAGGAATAGTAATTTGACAGAGGCCTCTCGCCATGATCCAAACATTAGCAATGGGTCAAATGACAAATCACAATAATAAGCACACATCACATCTCAACTCAAAACCTTAAAGGCTATCTTTAATCACTACTGATATTAAAATTTCCAACAATTCTACCGGGCTTTTCTTTGTAATCAACTTTAGTTGGCACTTGGCATATCAGGTTGTTCAAGCATTCCAATGAAAAAAGGTTTTTTTTTTTTACCTTATATTTCTTTTTTCTTCTTTTATACACATACCTTATATTTCTTTTAAGTTCTGCTTGGTTGAGTAAGTGACAAATAAGATCTTTATTTTTTACATTTTCACTTTCTTCTATCTCTATTGATTCGATCAAGCAGAGACAACTCTGACAGAGGCTAGCTAAGTGAAAGATGAGTTGTGAAGGGAACTTAGTAAAGGGAAAAAAGAAACAGAAATAAGGTAGCTAAATTTGATCCTCAAACAATATTATATTTAGTAACAAAACAGTTTTAATCACATTTATGTACAACCGTGAGACAAAATTTGAATTTGGGCGTCCACATTCTACATTTTGATTCTTTTTCTCTGACTAGTTGCTGAAGATGTTAAGAAGGGAAACTCTGGTTCTAATGAGTTGCCTTGAAAGGTGCTCAACACCTGCTTCTAGATCCTTAATGCAGATCTCCATATTTTCCATATGACTCTGAAAATTCTCAACTGATAAAGGCTTGTGACTGATGAGAGATTGCAAAGCTGCATCAACCTTTACAAATTCATTTGTGTCTGATTCTTGAGAGTCACAAGTCACTCTTGCAGGCTGCATCAACTTAGAGATTATTGACCATCTGTTCTGCTTTGATTGTCCCTTGGGGTCAGAGACAAACAACAACAAAGATTCTAAAGACCTCACAGTGACTGCTTCTGCTTCTTTTAAGATGCCAATGATAGACAAAGTCTCAGTGTCTTTGTTTGAGGAAGAAACCAATAACTCATTTTTTATTCCTTTCAAATTGCCAAAGGCCTTTTGAATTTCCTTCTTCATCTTCTTCCTAGATGCCAAGTATTTTTCACCCTTAACTGTGAATTCAGTTTCAGCACCCTTTCTTCGGATAACTGACTGAATATCGTACATGTTTTCCTTTGATTGCAAGAGGCAATCATGGACTGTACTACAAATATCCAGAAGCCTCACAGACCCTTCTAATAGGTCATCAACCCACTTGTCACTGCATTTTAATGCCAAGGATTGTTGGGTAGTTGGCAACAGAAGCAACCTATCAGCATAGTCATGCAGACCCTGCAAGCCAATTAGTTTGTGACATATAGAAGATGATGACAAAGAGGTAGTGGTGGTGGCTTCAGAATCCTTCAATCTCTGCAAATGCTCCTGGAATTGTGATAGAAGTGGGTGAGGTGCAGAGGGTAAACTGTTGCACCGAATGTGCTGAGAGTTCTTTGTGTTTGTTTCCATTTGCTCTTGTCAAACAGGACAATAGAGGGTTATAGGAGTAGAAAATGATATACACAATTTATTCTTAAGTCTTAGTGGTTGGCATTTGTTACATATATAGCAAATGAATTGAAGGAGACAAGCAGCTTTTTTTTATTATTATTATTATATGTCATAAAATGTGTAAGCAATTATATCATCTTGATTTGAATTTCAAATATTCCATGGTATTGTTTATTCAGTGCTTCCTACTCACCAGGCTTCCCAACTCACCTTTAAAATTTTTAACTTGGGAATCATGTGGGTCTTTGAAAAATAGCATCTTTGCAGGTTAGTGATATAAAAAATTCAAACTTTGTGGAGCATGCATTGTAATGGAAGCTTTTGTCTGGAGGTGGAGGATCTGTTTCTATTCTTAAAAGCATTTAGTCTAAAACTTGTCTGTTCAATTAAGGGCAAGATGAATCTTCAACTTCAGAAATGAAACATGAAATGAAAGGGTGCTAACACCATACAGTATCTGATGAATAGTAAATTGCTTGGAAGGGAAATATGCAATACTATGAGGTAAGTATGCAACATTCACATTAAACTTTATTCCGTTTACTAAGTGGAGATGATTATTTATTCCTTAGGGCCTTTCTCTTTTGGCCAAGTCATATACACTCTTGAAGACCAGAAAACACGTAGCATATATTTTTGCTAAGTTGCTTCTCTCTGATTTGTGGTCAGTTGTTGACTTGCCTTTGCAATTGCACGGTAGCTGTTTGAAGAAATGGGTGGACTTATGAAGCAATCAGCATCAAAGAAACGTCCAGTAGTTGGAGCCTCTTGTCTCCATAGAGCATTCAAGGATAAAATAAATAAATCAACATAAGATGCAGAAAAATAAAGAGCACCTGAAACAAGCTTGCATTCCTCAACATCCTCTACTAACCAATCTACCAAAACACCCCTCATATCAGCATTAGTTAAAGAGGAAAATGAGGTACAGTTTCAGTTTTACATGCTCTCCGAGAAATTTTTGGGTTTTGTTGAAGGATCATTGTCAACAGATGGAGTTGTGTCTAGTTCAAATACAAATAGCTTTTAAATTAAGGGTTTTATATATATCATGTTGTAGGAAACTTACAATGTCATGTTACTCTCACAAAAAGTGATGGCCCCACCTTGTTTTATTTTTTCTTCTTTCTTTTTAAGTGGGACCCACATCAAATGTATTAGATTAACATGACACTACAAGTTTCCTACAACATGACATATATAAAACCCTTAAATTAAATACTTAAATTGGTCCTCCATAGACATATGGGATATCAAGTTGGTCTTCCAAATTTTGGACTTCAATTTGGTATTCGTAGTGTAAAATAAGCATAAATTTAGAGACCAAATTGATGTCCAAATATACATTAAAGGACTAAATTGGTGTTCACTTTAAACAGAAAAGAAACAAATTAATGTTTCAAAATATTTGTAGTATCAACTTGATATCTTGCATATCTTTTAGAGAATGAACTTGAGTATTTAGTCTTGTTTTTAATTTACCCTCTTTCATTCCACAATTTTATACCGGGATTGTGAAAAAGAATATGCAAATTGAGAGATGAGATGTTGTGGGAACATAGTAAAGATTAAGGAGAAAGATGATAAAGTGACTATAATTTGATCCTCAGATAATATATTATCAGTAACAGAACAAGATTTAATTACATTTTTGTATAACTGTAAGACACTCGTGAGAAAAATTGGATTTGGGTGTTCACAGTTATCATATCATATGGTTTTCCTCTGACTAGTGGTTGAAGAGGTTGAGAAGGGAAACTCTGGTTCTAATTAGTTGCCTTGATAGGCGTTCAACTTCAACTTCTAGATGCTGAAGGAAAATCTCCAAATTTTGCATATGGCTTTGAAAATTGTCAATTGATGAAGGCTTGTGATTGATGAGAGACTGCAAATCTCCATCCAACTTCTCAAATCCATTTGTGTCTGACCCTTCAGAGTCACATTCCACTTTATTAGGCTGCATCAACTTGGAGATTACTGACCACCTGCTTTGCTTTGGTTGTCCCTTTGGGCCAGTGATAAACAACAACAAATATTCAAATGAGCTCACAGTGACTACTTCTACTTCTTTTAAGATGCTAAACATGGACAAAGTCTCTTTTTCTTTTTTTGAGGAAGGAACAATGAGCTCGTTCTTCATTCCTTTCAAATTTCCTAAGGCCATTCGAATTGCCTTTTTCATCTTCTTCCTAGATGCTAAGTATTTTCCACTTTCAATTGTGAATGCAGTTTCAGCAACTTTCCTCCTGCGAATAACTGACTCAAGTTCTTGCATGCTTTCCTTTGATTGCAATAGGCAATCTTTAGCTGTACTACAGATATCCAAGTGCTTCAGAGACCCTTCTAGTAATTCATCGATCCGTGTGTCACTGCATTCTTGTGCTAAGGATTTTTTATTCACTGGCAACTGGAGCAGCTTATCAATGCAGCCATGCAAATCTTGCAATCCATTGAGTTTTTGGCTTATTGAAGATGATGACAAAGAAGAGGTGGCTTGAGAATCCTTCAATCTATTCAAATGATCCTCAAATTGTGGTACAAGGGGGTGAGGTGCAGTGGGCAAGCTGTTGCTGCGAAGATGCAGTGAACTCTTTGTGTTTGTTTCTATGGCTGCCATCTTCTCTTTTATGTAAACTAAGTAATAGGAGGTGATATTTATAAGTTCTAAATTCGGGAGACAATAAGAATATTTTTCTTATTTGGAAATGTCATAAAGTTGGCATGCAAAGTATGTCATGATTTGATTCTTGAAGCTGCCACAGCATTGTTTTCTCCATGTTTCCCACTCACCAAACTACACAACTCATCCCTGAAAAGTTGACTTGGGAATCGCATGAATGCATATGCCATAGAGGGGTCTTTGACAGTATGAAGATATGAAACACAAACTCTGTACTCCAAGAAGGGATGCCATGGGACTGTGCATCATAATTAAATCTTCTGTCTGTAGGATGAGGAGCTATGTCTATTTATAATACCAATTATTGTTGGAATTTGCCTGCCTGCACATATGGGTCAATAGTAAGAGGAATCCTTTTCCATCTTCTATCTTCTGATGTCAGTGGCAGGCCATACAGGATGGCCATGTTCATGCATGGTTCTCAATTTTCTTTATCAATTAAACTATGGAATCTTTAAGAACACGCACGTATACCAAGAAAAACGTGGTGAATGTAAGAAGTTTGAGAAGGATAAGTGATCAAATGCTGAAGTGTTTAAATAAGTATACAAGAACCCAAAAGTTGAAAAAAAAAATTCAAGGAATGCAACAGCCTATCAACTAAGACGATGAATACAAATTATCAGATCGCATAACAAACTATATTCATAGTTTGATTATATTCTCTCAGTGCTGTGTGTGCTTTTATAAAGCCCTAATAACCAATGGTATACTTAGTATTGCTTAGTTGCTTATAGAAGTTTGATCAGCGGGTGAAAAGGACATTAATGAAATTACAGTGTGTCTTGAAAAGGGATTTGTATTAATAAGGAACATGCAATGCCATGAGGTAAGGTGATGAAGTAATTCACCCCATCTAAAAGAAAAATAATACAAATATACCCCATAAGTATAATGAGAAAAATAAAATTATAAAAGAGCAGGAAAAATTGAAAATGTAAGTCGCAATCACATCTGTTTATCTAATGCAACTAAGAAAATAGATATATTTGGAGCACCCTTTTTTTAGCCCAATCTTTATCAGAGTATGAATCAAGCTTGCAAAATGATTAAAACTTCGAAATCAGAATTGTATTTATTATATATTCATATCTTCATGAACTTTTATCATCAAAATAACAGGTGCATTATCAACAACTGTATACAAGAGGCTATATATTGCAAAATTCTGATGCCCCTAGATCGTTCAACTAGTGATTGAGGATGTTGAGCAGGGAAACTCTGATTTTAATTAAACGCCTAAACAGTGACTCAAGTCCTTCTTCAAGGTCTTGAATGCATGATCCCAATCTTGCCAACTTATTTCGCAAGTCATCGATGTCATTTGACTTGCTTGCCATGTTCAAAGCAAAGAACTGCAAAGCAGCGTCCACTTTTGCAAACTCATTCTCATCAACTCCTAGTGAGTAGGATACCCTTTTGCTGTGCATTAGCTTTGAAACCAAAGACCAGGTGCTTCGTTTTGATTGTGTTGACCCACAAATGAAATTCAACAATGACTCAAATATGGATAAAGTGATGACTTCAACCTCTTTTAACAAGTTAACCGAGGCCACAGTTTGATAGTCTTTGTTGGTAATAAAGAGGTTGCAATTATTTGCATGACCCTTCAAATTTTCCAATGCCTTGAAAATGGCCTTTCTCACCACTTTCCTTGAGGACAAGAATTTTTTAACCTCTAACGTGAGCTCCACTTCCTCTCCCCTTCTTCTTCTTATAATTGATTGTAGTTCACGGGTGCACTCTTTTGTGTGCAGTAGTGCATCTTTTGTTGCTGTGCATGTATCTAGGAGCTTTAGAGACCCATCCAAGAGCTCATCTACCCATTGCTCTTGGTGTTCCTGGACAAGTGCCTCTTGTGTTTGAGGTAATTGAATCAATTTTTCAACAGTGTTATGCAAATCCTGAAGGGCACTTAGTTTGTGGCTGAGCAATGAAGAAGAGGAGGTGGCATCAGAAGCCCCCCCTAATCTGGCTAAGTGTTCATTGCATTGTAGAATGACAGGGTGTGGCTTAGAAGGCAAACTATTAGAACGAGCATGGTTATGAGTTTTGTGGTTCAATGGAGATACTTCCATTTTTTCTAAACAAGAAAGGAAAAGGGTGTTGAGGTTGAATATGTGCAATTGAGTTGCCAATTTGTTATCCTTCCTTGCTATTGATGACATTATATATTGGATAGGAACGGTAGGAACCTCATCTTAACAAATACAATTATTTGCTATTTGATGTAGCCATTATCAAAGATCTGTTATGTAATGTTTCTCCATCATATCTCTACAACTCATACACCCTTTTTTTTATTATTAGTTCTTACTCTTCTAATAATTCTGTAATCATGTTTGGCCAATATTATACATTGCACGAGGGACATTGACTTTAAACTGTCGCTACTGACATGATTATATCTTGTCTTTTGTGAAGAATTATTTCATTAAAGACATGTAGATAGAAGCAAGCACAGGCTAGTTTAACTAGAGCTCCACCGCACTAGGCATACATACGCCTCTGGCTTATTAATTTGAGGTCCCGCCAATGATTATACATCATTCTAGCACAAAATGAAACTACTAAACATAAAATACACAGATAAGATGAAAAAAATGCAAGTTCCTTCTCTTCTGCTTTTGCTATAATCAGTAACTATTGCTTTCTTCCTTAGTTTTATGTATTGATTTAAATCAAAATAACATTTTTTTTTTTCAGTTTTTATGTCCCTCTCTGCTCACAAGGAGAAAAAAAAACTCCAAACATAAATTAGGGACCATGTACATATATAATGTAGAAAGATAGCATACGGAAAGTGCTTACTGATTTTATTGTCCTCATAACAAGAAGACAAGCATCACATCGTTCATTGAATTCAGCAAGTGAAATTTGAGCCCATCATGACTTAAATTAAGGGCAATAATATATTTTGATCATTGTTCAACAACCAACCTGATCAGTTTCGATATTGATCCAAAACACCATGTGGGTTCAATACTTGAACTAGGTGTCTACATTATGAACTTCAAAGTACTTCACTTCAAATTTCACTAGCTGAATGCAATGAACGATGCAATGCTTATCTTGTATGAAGACAATAAAATCAATAAGCACTTCCCGTATGATTTCTACATTATAGGAAGACAGCACACCAAAATCCATAATACAACATCGACGTCGGTGACTTTGTATGCTTTCTGTTGATTGTATCAGAAACCTCTTTGGCGGTACAACATACATACAGATGTTCAATTGAGTTTCCAGCTTATTGATGACGAGGAAATATGCAAATAATAGCATTCCAAAGCTAGACATTTTGACAATAGTGTGCAAACAGAATAAGCTACTGAATGTAAGGATGTGCAAAATAATCAAGAAAAACTGAACTGAACCATGAACCAAACTGCATTTAAAATAATCAGTTTTTGAAAATCAGTTCATGAACCGAACCAGTTCATGAATCAAACTAGATTTTAAAACCAGTTCAAAAATCGAACCAAACCGTTTTTTATTATTTTCTTTCTTAATCTTTTTTGTAATTTTTTTTCTTTTCAGAAGGTCGACCCGAACTGGTTTTGAATCAAACTGTTCCGTTTTCAACCAAACAGAACTATTTTCGAACCGAACCGATTTTGAAATAAACCGAACTGTTTTCGAACCGAACCGTTTAAACCAATTCGATTCGATTTTTCAAAAAATTAAGTTCATTCAACTCATGCACATCCCTAACTGAAAATGTTTATGCCTTTATGATCTGTTTTCTTCTTTCTTTTTCTTTTTCTTTTTTTTCGGATTATCATACTTGCAAAATTGACACGTGACTTTTTTATTATTTCTTTCAGAAAAAAATTGAAATCAAGAAAGTAAATACAAAAATAATATTTTTGCAATTACCAATAAAAACTTATGCACCAACAACCAAAACAAAATAAAAGAATCACCCTTAGCTGTTTTTAAAATATGGTGTATGTCGCTGGTTTTTTTTATCATTATGCCCTTAACTACATAAAAAATATCACTTTGCCCTTGTATCAAAATATTTCACTTATATGCTCCTGTTTGACTGTTGCAATATACTCAAGCACCCATATACTCGAGTATAACAGCGAATACTCGAATATATAGGTCTGTACTTTAGTAAATATTCAACGTTTGGGTTTTTTTTAACATTTACTCGAGTATATGTGTCTACTGTACTCGTATATATTGCGACCAAATTTTCTTCAACGCATCGTTTTCAAAAAATTATGTGAAATAAAAAAAATCGGATTTGGACATCCGAGTTAAAAGTTATGGACTTCCAAAGTTTTACTCTAAAATTTTTAAAATTTTGTAATGTCAATAGATTTTGTGATATCCACAAAGCTCCTTCTCAGATTACCCGAGTCAAGTCTAATATTATAAGTATATAACTATAGAAACTTATTTGATCCAAAAAACCTCGTTAAAAAATATTTAACCATAAAATTTTGAAAAGTGATATTTTTTTTAATCAAACAAGTTTTGTGGACACCACAAAAATCTATTTGCATTACAAAATTTTAAAATAAAACTTCAAAAGTCAATAACTTTTTACTCGGGAATTTTTCAATGCGTAGCTCTCAAAAAGTTATGTGGAATAAAAAAAATCTAATTCAAACTCCTGAGTCAAAAAATATGGTTTTCCAAAATTTTATAGTTACATTTTTTTCCACAATTTTTTGGATCAAACAAGTTTCTATAGCCATATACTCAACTTGATGGGTATCACAAAACTTATTGGCATTACAAAATGGAAAATACATTTGTCATGTTACATGACAAATGAATAGTTGTTAAATGCAACAACAATCTGATTTGGTACCAATAGATATGCAGGTTTCTTTCTTTTCTGCCAATTTATGGGATTGGATAGAACTAAACATGTCACAGATTAGTTTTTTCATGGATAATATCCCTTGGTGTACATGGTTTGCTACGGCTTGCTGGCTTGCATGGAAGTGGAGGAATGAAAGGAGTCATGACAATCCAAATCAGGTTCATGATTATCAATACAAGATTCAGTCAGTGATAGCCAAGGTGAGAGATATACAAGATGCTTTTCATAAGGTTAATTTAGCTCAAAATAACCTGTCCCATTCGGATACTTTGATTTGTTGGAAGGCTCCTGGAAGCAATTGGGTAAAGATTAATACGGATGGAGCGGTTAAGGGTAATCAAAGATTAGCAGCTTGTGGTGGTGTTATTAGAAATGATACTGGTCAATGGTTAAAAGGATTTGCTTATAGAATTGGTAGTTGTGATACTCTTACTGCAGAATTCTAGGGTATTTTAAAGGGTTTGCAACTAGCTTGGGAAGGTGGATGGAGAAATGTTATTGTAGAAAGTGACTCTAAATCAGCTATTGCTCTGCTCACTAGTGATGGTGATGCAGTCCGCGAGAATCATCTGATTTCTCGATTACGGACATGGATTCAAAAGGATTGGAGAGTTCATCTGGTTCATACTTTCAGAGAAGGAAACTGTTGTGCGGATTGGCTGGCAAATTTTCCTTTTATGAATGTTAATTCTGATGATTTTTGTGTTTTTAACTCCCCTCCCCTTGGAATTGCTCTGCTGTTTGATGCAGATTTAGCTTCTATTTGTAGAACTCGTCGTATTTCAGTTATTTATTTTGTGCTGTGGTGTGTTTTACCCAGCTTACCAAAAAAAAAAATGAATAGTTGTTATGTTAAGAAAAAAGATAAGATAAATTCATTAAATAATGTGTCCTCTCACTTTTTTAATATTATATAATTTATCATTTTCTTAACATAACAACTATTCATTTGTCATGACATGACAAATGCATTTCCCTTACAAAATATTGAAAATTTTAGAATAAAACTTCAAAAAACCATAACTTTTGACTCGGATATCCAAATCAGATGCTTTTTTTTTATTATATACTCGAGTATATTGCGTGGAACAACAAATACCCACATATTTGGGTTCTATATGTTAAAAAAAAAAACCAAATATTAAATATTTACTCAAATACAAACCCATATACTTCAATATTTACTGTTATACTCGAGCATATGGATATATACTAAAGTATTATTGCGTACAGTCAATGTTCAAACAAAAGCAGATAGGTGAAATATTTTGATACAAGTGCAAAATTATATTTTTTTTTATTTAATTACAGGCACAATGATCAAAAAGCCATATGTAGTTATTTAAAATTTTCGCATCTCAAGAATCAAGATACTTTAGCCGAGAATAATGTCATTAAGACAATCGAATGCTTGTTAATGCGTAGGCCGTTTCATTGGCTGGGATATATTAAGTATTATTTAACTTTATTTCACAATTCATAAGTATCCCAGACTACAGACCAAAATGAGAAATCCACAAAAAATTCCATTAAGTATCATAATGCAACAAATTGGCAATCCAAACTCATGACAATTCTTGCCCCCCCTCAATACCTTTCGTTTCTTTCGTCATTCAACATCATTAATGACACTACTAGGAGTTAATGACAATTGACAAGGACATTTAGTTCACACGGGAAGATTAATCAAGTTTCCAAACTATTGTGTTTTTACCACTGTTCGCCAAAAAAATATTCAAATAAACAAATTATCTGAATTCGTGTAATAACGGCTCATACCCAGCCTCGCCAAATCATAATTAACAAAACACTAGGCGTGTAACCATCAGAACTTGGTTGCCAAAAAGTCTGGCATTCAAAAAAGAATCGCCACCACATTAGCAATTCAACTAAGAGAAAAAAAAGTCAGAGAATAAGAAGAGTGCCAGAATACCAAAAACGATAAAACATGGAAGGAAGCCAAATAAAATACCAAGTATACAAAAAAACTGACGCAAGCTGGCATGAGGTGCATCTCAAAATAAAAAAAGGACAATACTTCACTAATCCTAACAAATCTCCATAAGCTAGCTATGATCAGAGTACTACACCTAGGTGTTTGTTGCCCTGGTGTAAATCTGCTGGCTTGAATGGGAAGACACCATCCTGATTGAACCTTTAGCCATCAAATCTCTTATAGCCTTCCTTGCAAGTGATCCATTAATCTGTAAAGCACATGCAAAATAATGATATTTAATTTATTTGTTTATTTTTGGGATAGAGCATAACTTGAATAGTGCTCCTGCATTGACAATCGTATTGTTCAAGTGCATAAATGTGCAAGCATGAGTGTGCATCGCAAAAGGGAGGCTTTAATTGCAGAGTAAAAGAGTGCATAACAGGAATGTTAAGACAGACTGCCAAGCTTAGACACAATTACAAATGTTGACCTTAGAATGACACCTTTCATAAGCACAGACATAGAACACGAATGTATCTGTTGCAAAATCAGTACGCATTTTTAAGCTACTTAAAATGCACATAAAACATCTATAGTATTGTAGAAGCCTGAATGTAAGAGCAGTAGCACAGACACAAAGCAAAGTGAAAATAAGAAATCTTAATTCACAACCATAAGTAGATGTCCATATCTAAAATGAAGCCAGATCTAAAATCCTAACCAGATACACACACAGTACTTTTTATCCTAAAGTTTTACCATGTTAAGTGTATTTACTGTTTAGTGAATCCTATACTCATAAACCAACAACATTAGTGGACAATTAACAGGGAAAAACATAGTTAGCAAATCTAAAATCCAAATCAGATCCTCGAAATGCAGGGTGCATTTAGGAGGTGAAGTGTGGAGTTGACAACCATTGATGGAAAAATCAACAGTTCAGATTTTAATAAAATACAAGAATTTGAATGACAAGTCAAGGATGAGAGAGAATCTACTCTTGATTTTCTCATAGGCAGTTAGTCGGTTCCCACTTGCACTTAAAAACATCCAAATCCATGAAGAGGCCATCGCAGATCCAAGAAAACTATCCAAAACACTAGCCACTTAAACAACATAACAGAAAAATTATGTGCACAAACCCATATACACAATATAGGCTGTCAAAAGTTTAAGTCCAAAGAAGCTTTCCAAGATTAGTCTTGGAAAATGATGCAAAAGAACAGGAAGACTCAGACATAAACAGGAAATGCAGTTTGAGTAATACTAGGCTTAAATCTTATAATATGACTTTAGATAAAACACACAAAATCTATGACCGTTCAAATAATGCAGTGAGCCCACATTGGCTCACATCATAAGAGAGAACACGAATCAACACAACAAAACATAAGATTTCTCATCAATATGAATAGTCTACAACACAACTAACGAAAAAGGCAGTAACAGAAGAGGTACCCTCAAACGATCAGAGAGAATGGAAGGAGTGATGAGTTTATATTTGGGTGCTTCAGTGAGGAGCTTGTCATAGGTTCCCTGATCAAACAGCACCATGTTATTCACCTTCTCCTTCTGCTTTCCCTTGCTCCACTTCTGTTAAAACAAAAAATTGACTATAACATCACACAACCATCTCTCATATTTCAATTAATCACCAAAAAAAAATATAAAAGAACAGCACAAACCAAGGATTACCCTAAGGCCAAATGATCATTAGTTTTAGAAAAACAAATTAAACTTTAACGAGAAAAACGAACCTTCTTCTTCTGCTTGCCACCGCCAGATTTGGCGGGCTTGGAGGAAGGTGGAGGAGCCTTTTCCTTCTTTGGAGCCTGCAAGCAATTACCCACAAATTCATTTAGAGAGATTAGGATTGAGGAGGTAAAAAAGAAAAGAAAAAATTAGGAGATGCATGCAGAAATTCGCACCATGACTTCACTTGTGATGAGAGAAAGATAAGGGTTTCAGGCAGAGGCGCAAGTATATCAACAGAGGCGATTGGAAACCCTAGAGTCTTTTACTAGAGACATGTGACATCGGCTTTAAGCTACTACGTCGTTTTGCCTGGCTTTCCTATCTAGTCAAGCTCCAGTCTAGGCCCAACTGAAAAGTCCATATACAATAATAACTATAAAGCCCAACGAGACCGGGGGAATCCACATCTTCCTCCAAACAGCGGGTTTTAGGTAAATAACATTATTTAATTAATATATATAAAGCCCATGGTCATATTAAAAATAAGGGCAAGTTATTCTTTTATTAATGTAAAAATAAAAAAATATTAAACCAAATTTTGATCAATTGATTTGCATACAATTAATGGCTTACATATTTAATAAATTAGAATCGTTAGATATAAATAGAATCAACAATCAAAATTATGAATATAACTTACTTCGATCCTCACTCTTAAAAATATTTGTTAAAAAATATTTTTCTACTGTAGTTGATTTGACAACGACGAATAGGTAATACCTAACAAGCACCGACACGTGATTTGAAAAAAAATTATGTGGTTCAACATTTGAGGACACGCGGTCAACTCTCCGACACGTTTCAACACGTTTTTTCGACACGCAGTCAATTTTCTCTTACGCGTGGTCAACGCTCCGACACGTTTTTTTTTATTTTATTTTATTTTATTAACTAAATATAAAAAAAATTATAAATTAATCTTTTGTTGTTCTGAAATTTGACATGAAAAATTAACAAAATACAAAAAATTATTTTTATTTATATTTATGTTATGAAATTTAAATATTTGATTGATTATATGACTTATTATGAACTCTTATATGTATTAAATATAAATTATATTATATATATTAAAAAAAATTATTTAATATTAAAACATGTTCCAACGTGTCGAAATATGACATTTTTTAGAATTAACGTGTCGGCGTGTCATGTCGTGTTGCATCTCGTGTCCCGTGTCAGGGTCGGTGCATCATAGGGTAATACATCTTCGCATATGATATAATTGTGGAAAAACTCACTTTTTCTTGAGGTTTTTTTTTAGATTTTCAAGGTTTTTTATAGGGAAAAGTATTTTTATTGCCGCACGAGATAAAGTTATTTACGATGTCATTTTGGAATTTAAGAATAAAATACAAGGAATTTGGAAAAAATTATTTTCCTCTTATAACAAATTTTACTTAAACACCCTCAATTATATTTTCCAAATCCCAAAGTGATGTAGTTTCAAAATTACAAAAGATAATTTTATCCCATGTTGCAAAAGAAACATTAATATCCTTTTTATATAGCTAATAACAAAGTTGACTCTAGCCAACTAAAGACTAAAAACCTGTTTGACACATCATTTTTTAAACTAAAAGCAATTTTTAAGTTACAGTTAAAAAAAAGTTTTAAAAAAAATTAAAAACAAAGTTGTTTTTAAAATTTTGAAGGGAGGGAAATGAAATAATTTGTTAAGGTAAATAATAAAATTTATAAATAAAAATTTAGAATAAGAGTATAATTGAAAAATAAATATAAGAATTCAAAAAGCTAACATATATAAAAAAAAACTCCTCTTAGGAGCTTTTAGTTTTTAATTTTTTTTTTCAAAAACAAAAACTCTTTTATGATAAGAGTTTTTAGATATTATATTTGATTAAGCTTCTTCTTATAAAGAAAATAGAAGTTGAAAATAAAAAATCTCAATCAACTACTAAATTTAAAATAATAATAATAATAATGGTCGTAATGATGTCACGGTGTCCATTTTGTTGAACTCACAATAATTAGTTATACACAACACAAGTCATAGCCAAAGTCCAAAAGCTCTTTATTACAAAAAAAAAAAAAAAAAAAGTCCAAAAGCTCTGAACCAATACCATTCGTTATTGTCAGGTTCATTTCATCTCTGGCTTCAATTGGGGGATCAGTTTGGTAGCTACAAGCAGCAAAACAGACAAGATAGTGCTCCTCGTTGTTTTAAGTGCTCATCAGTGCGAAGGACCTGAAGTTCAATAATACAGAACCTTGGAACCATATCCAGATGAAAAGTAAAAAATATCGCAAGAAGCAAAGAACAATTGATTGGAACAACAATGTCATGTCAATTTCTACATGAAGTTTTATGGCATTGATTCTTGCACACGCCTACTTGATTATATAGGAATAATCTCATTTCATGACAAGTCTCTAGATTAGGATTTGTTTCCCTCGAGGCAAATAATGCGTGAGATGTATTAGTGATTTAACAAGGTAGATATATACATCTAACCCAAGTCACTCCGAGTGATATGATCTCAATTAAGGGAAAAATATTTTTAGTATTACGATTGTACTGAATACTCGGATATAATATCAAATATGAAAAAAAATAATATATTTATATTAATTTTATTTTTATAGCTATTTTCTTTCACATATTTTTTTTTCTTTTTAAGGAGAGTGAACATGTAAAATGACGCACCTTAATAATAATAATAATAATAATAATAATAGTAAAAGATAATTTTGGGTGGAAAAAATTCTTCACTGATAAATGAGAGTTAGCCATAATCATTTCTATCCTTATTTATAGGTCCCACTAGATATCATATAAGTCAAGCATTCTTTTCTAATGCATGAGATGTGTGTTAGAAAAGTGAATTCAATGTGATGAAATATCATTTATGTCATTTAAAAATATAGAAATATGAGCCCAGCTGACCCAATAAACTATATTTGTATGGCCTGTTCAAAACAACAATATAATAAGAATAGTGCAAAAATAACGTGAACATATAATTCATATATAGTGAAGTATTTTATTTGAACAATATTTTTCCTGCACGCCATGTTCCGTCCGAAGGCAAAAGTTGCATCCTCTTCCATTATTGATTGGACTATTGGGGGCAGAAGGGGGACCAGGAACCGTTGGAAAGTTGAACTGAAGGCTTTTTAGTGTTGAGGGAATATAAAATAAAAATAAAAATAAAAAAGGCAAATTAAAGCAAGAGTGCTCATTTAATAAGGAAGGTTGACATTTCTTAACAAGTAAGAAATAAGTTGCAAATTTGACAGGGGTAACTGGTTTCTATGTTTAATAATGTTTAGGGCACACATTGGCCCATAACATGTATATTAAGAGAATCACAATATAGATGTGTAGAAGTTTAATTAAGATTAGTTATAACTGGAATGATAAAAATAATGCAAATGTAAGTTAATATATGCGTAAGTCTGTGTGACTAATTATATTCTTCTATAATAACTGTCTTTACCTTAAGCTGCTTATATAGTTCCTCATTATGTTCAGTCACTAGTCATTAGCATCTTAATTATGCATAACAGACAAAATAAAAGGTTTAATTGCTATAAGATATCATATATATATATATATATATATATATATATATATATATATATATATATATATATATGTATGGGTTTTTGTTTTATCCTTTAACATAACATAACAAACTTTCCTACACTCACAACATTTTGTGGGGACCACACTTTTTAAAAAAAAAAATAAATAAAAAATTAAGGCACGCAAAATGAATCTCTATAACATTACACAATCATTTTTCCTACAACATAACTCTTATAAAACCCTATATATATATATATATATATATATATATATATATATATATATAGATTAAATTCTAATATACCACAATTTTTGTTATATGTATAAGTAGGGGTGAAAGTGGACTGGGCTGGGCCAAACTTTGCTCCGAAAAGCCCAAGCCTACATAAAAAAATTTCAATTTGGCCTGACCCAAGCCTAGTACGAGTCTAACTGTTAGCCTGTCTTGGCCCGTTTATAAAAAAACAAATGGCCTGACCCAGCCCGTTAGCCTGTTAATTTTTAATTTCCAAGTAGAACCATGAATCAACTTTACACAATACTCAAATCATGTTGCTAAACCAAAAATTATAATTTCAACGTCCAGATATAATCATGAATCACAACGAAACTCATACAATCTACATTTAAGTCACTTTCAAAAGCAAAATGCTCAAACTAAATAACATATATTTCATCATATACAACAAACAAATCCATACTATGTAAATTAAAAGGGTCAGGATCATTTTACACTAGTGTAAGTTACACTCCAATCTTGTCCGTTGATCCCACTTATATATAAGGGCTCTAATTTTTTAGTAATGTGAGCCATTGGGTACAAGTGGATTACTTGTCAAGATTGGGTGTAAGACTTCTAACTCTTACACCGGTGTAAGAATATCTTGCCACAAATTAAAATAACTACATGAATCCAACAAACACATCATAATGCTTATAGTAAGTATAATATCTCCCAAAAATCTTTTAATATATTCATATACATAATCTAATATGCTGAAATGTTGATTTTTCCTACACAAGAAATAAAGTCAAATTTCTATTAAAATATAATCAAATATAATTAAGTTATAAATAATCGCAATTGATTAAATTTATATCTTTTTTTTTCTTTAAAGCATACTTATTCTATTTTATTTTATTTGAAATAAATAGTACAATGAAGGCCGGCCTGTAGGCTTATAGGCCAAGCCTTGTGAAAGTGAGCCTACGACTTTTTTTTATTAAACAGGCTTTTTCAAAGCCCAAGTCTGGCCTGTTTTACGAAATATACTAGGTCAGGTCTGGCCTAACATAGGCCGAGCCGTAGGCCCCTATAGGCCGGCCCGACCCAGTTTCACCCCTATGTATAAGCATAAAGATGTAGTGCATAAATAGGCATTAAAAAGCGTATAGCCTTTTAAAAATTTATTTGGTTTTGCAGGATTATAGCATTTAGTTTGAGAAAATATTCGTTTACAAATTTTTTTTACAAATTTTTACAAATTACACTACACTATGTACTCCCGGAAGTACATAGTGTAACCTAGTGTATTTTTAGAAGTACATATTGTAATTTGTAAACAAAAAATTTGTAAATATAACTCTTCTCATCTAATTTATATAAAAGATCTTAAAAGCATAAAAAAATATCATACAGTATGTTGCAGAATTTAAATTTACACAATTTTCTTATATGTTTTATAATTTCAATAATTGAATTATTTCATAATATTAAAGTTACACACTTTTTTTATAATTTACACACTTTTCTTATATGTTTTATAATATTAAAAAAAAAAAAAACACACACTCGCGCTCACACACTATTACCGGCAAAGAATGCCGTGACAATGATGTTACACACTTACACTGATATGGATCCTTTTTCATAGACGTTGTTTGGATTTGAGATAAGCATCCACATCCACTAACCGCATGCATGACTTTAACGATTGAGGGGACAAGCATAGGAATATCTTTTACTTAAAAATGTACTATACTACTATATCAATATAAATTTATTATATTATACTATTTTTTTAAGAAATAAAAGTTTCAAGTTTAAAGAAAAAAAAAACTCATAAAATATGTATAGTCAATAACTAAAAATTAAGTATTCACATATAGATTAAAAAAATTATAATTAGAATTTAGATTCAATAATCAGTAATGGATTTAGGAGAGTTTTGCCAGGGTCATAAAGCCTATGATGGTATAAAACTTATGTTTATATAAGTGGGTTATAATTTTTTTAATAGTCAGATGTACTGACTTTTTTTACCATATATGCTTTATTATATAATTAAACATTAAAATATTATTTTATTTTTGTGTTTTGTATTTAATAAAAGAAAATTATCAAAAAATTTGCTGTGTGGTACTAAAAAACACTTGCCAAAATCTTTAAGGGTAGCTCCGTTGACAACTAAGCTTTCAAGGATTTACTTGGGTCAGGGTTCAAATCCTGTCTCAAACAAATTCTTAGAAAAATTTTGGGGGCTAGAAGACGTGTCTCTCTCTTCAAAAGGGAATTAGTCTCATCCTTCTTTCGATAGCAAAGCTCAATGCACCCGCTGTTTCAATGAGGGGCTAGCCTTCGAACCGTAATCCGTGAACAAAGTGACCGAAAAAGATTAAACGAGATATTATAAAATAAAAAAAAAATAAAAAAAACACTTGCCAATAGCCGTTTTAAGTGGGGATTCAAGGATGGAACAATGCTATTTAATATGAAACAAATTTTTAGAAAATGTTATTCTTTCTTGATGGTTGATACTACGTGTCAAAACCGTGGTCTGTCACATAGCAAAAGGAGGAGAAATTTGGTAAACACCAAACCAGGAAACAAAAAAAGTAGATGAACGGAATATTGAGAAAATTTTATTTTATTTATTTATTTTTATTTTTTAAAAAAAGAATCAGATTCCAGTCTATAAATGAGAGCAGAAGCAGCCATTGTGGAAAGGCCAAGAAGAGTAACACGAGTTGCTACCAAAGCCACACTCTGTTCTCTCTCTTCACTCACTCTGTTTCTCTCTCACTTTCTTTAACTCTGTTTCGATGCTTGGAAGTGTAGAAACCGCTGCAGTGTTGGTTATACCTGCAGTTTCTCTATTCTCTGCTTTCAGATACACTGTCTCTGTTTCTACTCTCGAAAAGCTTCCATTCCCCTTCGAGTGAGAAACATAACTTTTTTTTTTCTTCTCTAACAACCAAAAAAAAAAAAAAACTTGGTTATACCCTTTGAGAAATGGACTCATTCAGTTTCAACAACCTTCAAGCAGAGAAAGCTAACGCCATGCTTAAATACCGCAAGCTTCGAAGGATTGCAAGCTTGTTGCGTCTCGTTGAGGTGTGTGTTGTTTTGGTTTTGATTTCAAGGGTTTCTCTGCAGCTACCAGTTGCAGTGAGGAACTCAAGCGAGTACTTCAGGGACTTATCAATCTTCATGAATAGCCCTCGCTTTATTTTTCTCATTGGAAACGTCATAATCATCACACTCTTCGCTCAGTTCTCAGCTCAGGGTTCTAGAACAAAAGCTCCAGAACCTAATCTTTATGAGGAGTTCCTCCATAACAGCACAAAGAATCAGGGGATTCAAGAGTATCCAGAAAAGCAGAAAACAGGAACAGACGATGGAATTGAGAATAGAAGAATCAATGGAGACATGGTGGTGAAATACCCAGAAAATCATAGAATATGCTCAAATCAGAAAACTGTTGCAGGCAAAACCAAGGTGAAGGATTACAGAAGGTGTGAGACAGAGATTTTAAGGCGCGTGGAGAGTGAGAAACCACGTGGTGTGCTGCGCAGGTGTGAGACAGAGAAAAGAAGGAAAAGCATTGAATCTGTTCCTCAGGAAGAAGTGTCAAAGATTTCATACCCTGAGGATAACATGAGCAACGAGGAATTTCGTCTCACTGTTGAGGCTTTCATTGCAAGGCAACAGAGGATCCGAAGAGAAGAAGATTACTCTTTTGTTTAAAAAAAAAATGTATATAAAAAAAAGAGAGTTGATTATATTTACAAATTTTGTTTACAAATTCTTACAAACTACACTATATACTACGGTATGTAATACTCGTAATATATAGCGTAGTTTATAAGAGTTTGTAATAAAAAGTTTATAAATATAACTAAGAAAAACATGTAAATAAAGTGCCACAAAAAATTGTATCAGTAGGTTCTGAATCGTGTTGATATTATAAGAGTGCAAGTTGGGTACTGTATCAAATAACTAAGTTTGCGTTTGTCAATTCAGTGTCATATCATGAAGGGTATTCTGATTCTTTATAATTTTACACATTACAGTGGCATGCAGCTAAGGGAACTTCCCAGAGGCAGAGCATATGCTATTCTCTGGTTTGGACTAATAATGAGACAATTCAAGTTTTTGAGAAAAAAATTTTATTTATTTATTTTAAACTATTGATGCCAAAGTTGCCAAAAAAAAAACACGGGGAACAAAAAAGCTACATAGCAAAAAAGCATTCCCACTATGAACTTACAGTCTCTTCTGGAAAAGTGGAGAAGCATTCCATCCTTGTCATGAAGCTAAAATCTTATTTCCACAATTTTGTTGTCCTGATACAAAAAATTAATTGAACAAAAATCATACTAACTGAATAAAATTATTGTTAATTAAGAATTATATTTTTATATGTTTTTTATTGAACAGATAAGGTTCAAGGAATAAAATTGGGATAAAGACTTTGAGTTCCGAATATTTTGGCATATTGGGGAAAGGATTTTTAATCAGCATAAGTTCAATATGCCAATCTCTGTCATCTGGCACTAGGACTAGGAATATATTTTCTGCTTTTGCATTATGTCTTGCTTTTAATCATATAAATAATAATAAAATGTAGTAGTTAGTAGCATCCTTGTCATTCAGGCTTTGTTTTCATTTTCTGTGAATAAAATGTCACCTCAAGACCATGTTAATTCATAGTGAGTAAGAGATTTATGACATAGATTTATGTCACAGCAAAAACAAAAAAAGATTTATGATATAAAATACAAGATTATTCTTACTCTATTTTATATATGGACGAGAATCTACGGCTGCTGACCCAACTTTGCCATTTCAAGTTTGTAGTGAGCTTCTACAAATATAGGGGGAAAAACTCGAGTCGATAGCAGTGTTTTAAAATCTCACCCCACCTCCCGGGTTGACCCGAGTCAATCCTGATCCCTACCCTCTGAGAGTTAGGGTCACAAGTTGGACCCTATATGCACATCGACTCCTCCGACCCTCAAAACCCGGCCGAATTTCAGTGACTCCTGGGTCAGAGGGGTCAAAGGGGGTCACTGCATGTTTATTTTTTTTAAAAAAATAAAAATAAAAATGCTTGTAAACCTAAATCTAATTGTTCCCTTCTCTCCCAGTGACCTATATGTCTTCAATCTTCACCTCGTAAACGTGAATCTTCTAGAAAAGGTAAGAATTTTATCTATTCAAATGAAATCCTTACGGTCGTCGATGGAAAACAAAAACTCATTCTTACTTCCTTTAAATTTTCCTTTGTCAGGGACCTTCTCCAAAGAGGCAGAAACGGGTCAGCGTATTGATCCCATTAGAATATGAGTTTTGTACTTTGGTATCTTGATACTTTAATTAGGTTGTGTAATATTGACTTGTGGTTGTAATTAGAGAATTATGTTAAGTATATTTTGAATCTTTGATAATTAGTGGTTTGTTTTTTAATATTTTTATATATGATATATATATTTATATATTTTTAGTATATAAAACCGGGTCAGCATAGTGACCCCGTGACCCCCCGGTTGAACCCGTGACTCCATGACCCCTGACCTCGGCCGGGTCGATAGCCGGGCCGGGTTTTTAAACACTGGTCCATAGGCACTAAATTCTTAGTGGTTTCGCATATTAATCATCTTGTAGAAAATAATAATAATAATAATAACCAAAATTAACACCAATGGGGATAACTAGAGATGTGCATGGGTCGAACCGAATCGGTTTTTTTTGAAAAACCGAATCGAATTGATTTAAATGGTTCAGTTCGGAAGTGGTTCGGTTCGTTCAAAACTGGTTCGGTGGGAAACGGTTGGGTTCAGAACCGGTTCGGAAACTGTTCGGTTCGGAAACGGTTCGGGTCAACCCTCTTTTGAAAAGAAAAAATTTAAAAATTTAAAAAATAAAGTTATAAAAATCAATTTGGTTCGGTTCGGAAACGGTTCGGTTCGGTTCTTAAACTAGTTCTAAAAACCGGTTCGGTTCATGGACTGGTTCTTTAAAAACCGATTCGGTTCATGAACTGATTTTTAAAAACTGGTTATTTTAAGGGGCGATTCGGTTCGGTTCGGTTCATGATTCAGTTCAGTTTTTTGGTTATTTTACACACCCCTAAAGTGTTAGAACTATGTTGATTCACGGAGCGCAGAATTAGTAGCTACTACCTACTGAAGCAGTTTCATTTCAAAAGAATGAATATTCTAGGCCTTTGATACTGCAGCGGCTTTACTGCCCTCCTTTAAGAAGGTTGTTATATTTCTAGGTCGTTAGCACTAATTAAATCAAACATGATGTTGCCAATAAGGGTTTCGCTTAATTGTACATAAAGTCTTAAATTATTAGGAGTCCTTCTTTAACAAGTTTTATATAGATATTGTTCTAAACATGTAGATATGCATATCTTTCCACTGGTTTATGCTCGAATCTTTTTAGAGTTGTCCTTGGAACCTATACATCTTTAAAGTTGCTGGAATCTAAAGTCTGAACTCTGAACCTACATTCCATTTGGTTTAATATTGCGGGATATATCTAAGTTTGTCGCCTAAGGCCAAGTACTACGTTCCACGTATAGGTTTCTCTGTAGGCTGCAACCGTGAGATATTTTAGAAAATTAAACGCAGACAGAATCAAATGACCCGATTTTGAGCATGATAGAATGTTAAGACCTCATATTTTCTTTGTACACAGGATTCATGCATGTTACCTAAATTTTTTGATATACTTCAAAATCACCCAGACTGAACGTGACTATCTATCCTTGCCAATCAATTTATTATTTATTACTTTAATGCTTCCTTTTTCTTCTAGAATTATGGGATCTTTTCCATACTTAAAGGATTTAGCAATTTACAGTTTTCCTTAATTTGTTCATCCCAAATAGCACAAGGGGTGATTGAAAAAGAAAATCTTCTACCTTCTACAGAAACTGGATCCTTTTCTCTCCAAAAGGAATGAAAGGAATTTTGGTTATTTTGACAAAAATACATAGTATAAAAGTTATGGGCCTAATGGCACATTATTGTAAGAAGCCCAACTTATGTTTGAGATGATATTAAGTTATATTTTATCGAATTATGAACTAAATGGCCATTTATCACAAGTCCAAAGTTAAAGAAGATAATTTAACCTTGTTTAAGATGTTAAAGTCTTCCCCAGTTTAAAATTCATCATATGTTATACATGGTAATAACAAGTTATCTTGCACACATCAACACAGAATATTGGATACGATACTCTGATACGTTAATTCTAAAAATATTAGATTTTGACACGTTAGGAGTTAGGATATATTTTTATATTAAATAATATTTTTAGTTTATGGGTAAAGGATTTCTCCAGTCAATGGAAATAAGTTATATTTGGTGAGTCCAAAACGACGTCGTTTTGGGACAGAAATCAAGGTGTTTTTATAATTATGATATATTGTAAGGTTATATTAGTCTTTATCATTATAATTTTCTAATCTTATAACCCAAAATGACGTCATTTTGAGCTCACTGGAGATAACTTTATCTCCGGTGACGGAAGAAATATTTTTCCCTTAATTTATATAGTATATATTATATTTAATATTTAATAATTTAATAAAAAAAAATAAAGCTAAATTTATAATATCTCTCAATTTTTTTACAGAAAAATATAAGATGTCATAAATAATTATATTAAACTCAATAAAATAATAACTGTAATTCAACCAATTTAATAATTAGAACTAAAAATATAACGTAACATAAACTGTGAATTTTTTTGAATTTTTTTTATTTTTTTAAGTGTCATGATGTATGCATAACGTCCACAATGGGAAAAGCTGAACGTGAGAAAGAAGTTGCAGTCGAAGTCATCGTCAACGAAGAAAATGCAAAACGGCGACGAGAAATTAAGCACGAGATGACTCTGACCAATAACCGCCCTTTTTCTTTCTCTTCCCACATTGCAATTCTGATACGAACCCAACAATCACCAAACCATGACTCTTCAAACAGTCGTCTCCACCGCTGCCTCCGTCGCCGCCACCGCCATGCTCCTCCGCTCCATTGCCAGAGACTACCTTCCCCGCGAGCTTAACTACTACCTCAACTCGAAACTCTCCAAAATCCTCGCCGCATTCTCCTCCCAAGTCACCCTCGTCATCGACGAGTTCGAAGCCCTCACCTTCAACCACCTCTTCAACGCCGCGGAACTTTACATCAGACCCCACATCGCTCCCAACACAAACAGGGTCAGGGCCACCATGGCCACCAAGGAGAACATGATCTCGGTGACCATGGAGCGCAACGAAGAAATCGTCGACATCTTCAACGGTGTCGATTTCAAATGGAGATTGGTCTCCAAAGAAATCCCATCAAAGTACATTCAAGCCCCAGGATCAGAAAATCACCACTCCACATTGAAATCCGAGCTTCGCTACTTCGAATTGCGCTTTCACAGGAAGCACAAGGACATGGTTTTCGGGGAGTACTTGCCCTATGTTATGGAGAAAGCGAAGGAGGTGAAAGAGGAGAGAAAGACGCTGAAGCTTTTCACAGCGAAGAATGATCGAATTCGAATGCGTGGGAGGCGCGGGGGGGAGATGTGGCAGTGTGTGAATCTTGATCATCCAGCTACGTTTGACACGTTGGCGATGGATTTTGATGTGAAGCAGAGGATCTTGGAGGATTTGGATTTGTTTGAGGGAAGGAAGGGTTTTTATAGGAGTGTTGGGAAGGCGTGGAAAAGAGGTTACTTGCTATCTGGGCCTCCGGGGAGTGGAAAATCAAGCTTGATTGCTGCAATGGCAAATTATCTCAATTTTGATGTGTATGACTTGGAGCTCACTGATATTAGGAGTAATTCTGAGCTCAGGAAGTTGTTGATTGCAACTGGGAATCGTTCAATTATTGTGGTCGAGGATATTGATTGTTCCCTTCAACTGCAAGATAGGCTTGCAAAAACACCAAAACCCAAGGTTTCTATTTCAAGGTCCACTCGGCCTTACCACCCATTTGGCAATGAAAAACCCCAGGTAATATTGCTATGTCAAAAAAAAATTAATCAATTGTTTATGACATGACTTGTAATGTTCAATAATTCACTAACATGAGATTGAACGGTAATGAACAGAGATGATGGGCCCAATCATCATACTGGTGCAATTTTAAAAAATAATTATAATAGTAATTCACTTTTTGAGTCTTGCATGTTTGATCATACGAGATTAGTCCCACACATTAACCATGTGAATCTTACGGTTGTCTCGTATGTTGGAAAGTCTCGCATGTTAGATTAATTGACATGCGGGACTGGTCTCGTATGATCAACATGCTTAACTTATTACTCCAAGGTATATGACACAATTTTTTTGCATTCCAAAAAGTCTTGCATGAAATGCATGCGGGACTGGTCCTAAACATTTATGATGCGCCACATTAAGAACGTGCAGAACCGGTCTGTATGCATTTTGTATAGGACTAACTACATTAATTTAGTAATATCTTTCAAAAGTACATCATTCCCAAAATTTGTTTTCCGGGGATGATGGACCTTTTACAAATTTTCGTGCTGGAGCAGCAATTCCTATAGAAAGGCTAAGCCTAAAAACACATTTCACTGAAACAATTCTGAGTAGGCATATCCCAGATTGCTGTTATACACACAGGATTACGGAGTAGGCTAAATATTAACCATTGTGTTTCCTTTCTGTGTGAACTGCTACTAATCAATCCAACAGCTAATATGTTTCTTAATCCAAGAGAAGTTGCTAGTTTTCCATTCAACTTTCAGTTTCAAAGGGATCTAAAGTAACATCCCTAAGATGAAGGATTATGTGTCTACATGTGATATTATTGCCTTAGGGGTTAGGCCGAAATGGAGGGCTATTCCACAAACCCAACCTCATTCCTAAGATTCACAGGGTCTTAGGAAAAGTATTATGAACTTGCTAGTTTGTTCAGTGGCTGTGATAATCTTGGTGTTTTTCTGTCACAATATAGTTTTATGGTCCTTAATGTGTTCTTAGAATTCATGTTATGTGCCTCGCAGGTGACTTTATCGGGATTCCTAAATTTCATAGACGGGCTGTGGTCTAGCTGTGGGGATGAGCGGATTATAGTGTTCACAACCAATCACAAAGACAAATTGGACCCTGCATTATTGCGCCCTGGGCGTATGGATGTGCATATCAACATGTCTTACTGCACACCATGTGGGTTCAAAATGTTGGCTTCCAATTACCTTGGGATCACAGAGCACCCACTTTTTGTTGAAGTCGAGAAGTTGCTAGAGACCACGAATGTCACTCCTGCAGAGGTGGGTGAACAGCTTTTAAAGAATGAGGAGTCTGAAATTGCACTAAGAAGCCTGATGGAGCTCCTTATAGAGAAGGGACGAAATCATGAATCTAAAGTTATCTAGGCAGATTTCACCACTGAATGATTTGAATCTTGCAATGTTTTCGAAGCTGAAGTGAAGGGTGATAAGGAAAACTCAAGTACAAAAAGAGTTATAAACGTGATTTGTATCAAACAATAATTATAAGTGTGACTGACACGATAGATGAATCTAATTTCCTATAAACTATCAGATAATAACATCATCTATGATTCAGTTTAAGCCCGCAAGCAATTAAAAAAAAAAGAGAGATAAATTAAGGAAACGAATTGGTTTTCAAAATATGATGGGGGCTATAATTATTTTATGATGTCACTACCACTACCACATTCAATTTATTAAATGAATTTGTGAAACTGATATATAACATGCGAACATGCAACTTAAGTGTGTCAAATGCATATATGTGAATAAGTTGACTGAATACATCTTTAAAATATAGCTTAGTCAAATTAAAATGTCAAGTAATGGTGAGTTCAATTTAAGAAATTTAGCATAATAGTAAAAATGTGTTATCACTTCATAAGCATTTGAAAAATCCATTGAGAAAGTCTATTATTTTTCATTTTTTAACATATTAATCATAAAACCGAACTTTAAATTTCATTCCGCTAATATCATCAATTTATAAATTTAGCAATGTATCAAATAACTATTGTCCACGTTGAACTTTAAAAGCAACGTCCTAGTGCTCCCCATACGAATTTGGGGCAAGTGTTGTTTGACAATTTTTATTAGGCTTCCTTACGACATGGTGTAATCTTTTAGAGACTTTTTTTTTCTTCGACCATTGACCACTTAATTCACCAAATATCAAGAGCAGTGGAGCCTCAAATGTTACAAATCAAGGGTAATTTAAAAACGGTTGTGGTACTGTTCTCCAATAATAACATAACATGTATTACATTTTACTTTTTAGATACTTCATCCCCATTTCTGGATTGATCTCTCCAAATCATTACGGCAAGTTGGCAAGTACAACATATAGAGGCGATCCAAAAATAAGAAACCACTGAGAGTATCAAGTGATGTAACAAATAAACATCCAACAGCTCTATCCGCTTTTTTGGTTGGGGCCGGGTGGGGGTGGAGAATCGCAACTAAATAGCCAACACATGATACCTATAATCTTAACATCAAGTTGCTGATCCCTCAAAAGTACACCGGAGCGGCTACATTGGAAATAAATGAAAATGCAGTTAACCGGTATCCCCTTAGAGCCACGATACATAAGGAACTAAAGAATTCCCAATAGCAACATATGCAAAACTCGTAGTATGTATGTCCAACAACTAGTAGTTCTTTTATTTGTCACAATCTTTAACATAAACCTCCTATAGTTATGCCTGAAACAGTGAGAATACCATGCTTCAGTATGAAGAACAGAATATGGCATAGAAAAACAAGTGCCTAGAGATATTCAAAAGAATATACTTTACATTCCCAATGCATTCTCATATAAAATTCTCTAAAAAGCAGAAACATTAATAATGTATTTCAAGTGAGTGCTTTTAAAACTCAGAAAACCGGCTAACTCCTAGTCAAATTGGTTTTTCAAAATTTTTATTTTAGGTTACTACTCAGTTTCTTGAAAAGCCAGATCTTAAATAGCTGTTTTTTCGGTTTGCCATACTGCCCAGGTGATAATTCCCAACCACATTATATAAATCTCCTTTATATAAATAACCATGGGAAAATATATATATATATATTACTTACCTCATTTAAAAAAGCATGACAGCATGAAAAAGGGACAGAGAATCTCAGAGATTCCTAAACAGCCATCTTCATTTCTATCTTCTGGTGAGGATCATAGCCTAACAGCTTGAAATCAGCAGCCACAAAAGAATCTATATTCTTCTTCTTTGGATTTATCTTCAAAATCTGAATTGAAGTTTAGGTAGTCAAGAAGGAAAAGACAATTTATAGGAGTGCTTGAAGGTAAATTTGTAGACATATATATATATATATATATATATATATATATATATATATATATATATTAAAGCAATGATTTCTTTAAACATTTACACATACCGGAAAAGGTTTTGGCGGGTTCTGGAGCTGTTCCCGCAAAGGCCTGACATGATTGCGGTAAACATGTGCATCCCCAATAACATGGATAAAATCACCCGGAACAAGGTCTGACAAGAAAAGGACATATTAAACGGGTTGCTTAGTTTGATGTGTGATGCAATTTCCCTTTTATATAAAAGCTGTGTTTCTCTATGGTAAGATTAACCTATGACCTTCTGAATCCACCCACGTCCAACCTTCAAAACATCCCGATAAACTTTCAAAAACAACACTACCCAAAAAAGTTATTAATTTTTTTTTTTTTTGAAAAGGGCATTAAATAGAATGCCACCTGAAAGGGAATATATATATATGGGCAAGATCCTTTTACAACGGCAAGTAAAAAGTTTGACACCAAATATTAACTGTGGATCTCCGCCCATTTGATAGTTATAATTTATTGAAAATTAATAATTAATTAATAAGTATGACCCAATAAATCATAACCGTTAGATTCATGGAAATCAACGGTTAAGATTTAGTGTCAAACATTTTACTTTGACACCAGTGTCAAAGAATCTTGTTCCTATATATATATATATATATATATATATATATATATATATGAGGTAGGATCCTTTGACACCGGTGTCAAATTTCAATTTTGACACCTCATTTAAGAGCCGTTAGATCAAGAAAGATCAACGACTCTGATTTGCAAGCATGTGACACTTTTGATCTTTTTTGATCTAACGACTCTCAAATGAGGTGTCAAAATTGAAATTTGACACCGGTGTCAAATGATCCTACCTCATATATATATATATATATATATATAGGAATAGCCATTGATTTGATTTTGATCCAATGATAACAAGATTGGTAGTAAGAAGTGGTAAGAAAAAAAGGTGATAAGTCCTCCCACGTATACATATAGATATATGAGTAATACTGGAAAAAGCTACATCGAATCAAAATCATCACATCACATGCCAGTTGTAGAAAAAAAAAATACTGGTCTAAACAAGCAATTTACTACCGTCAATATCAGTTTATTTAACAAATAATACATGCTTGGGCTGAGTTCAGCACTTAAACAACTCTGATTATTGGCATCCAAAAAGGACCATTTGGCCCCTTGCATACAAAAATTAACCAGAGCATAATGTTAAGTCTTTGAGAATCAAAACCAATTAATTAGCTTAAAGCCATTTACAATCAAATAATGACATAAATCTCTATCAAACCCACCAAAGTAAAGATTTAAGATGCCCTGTACTTCTGAGTACATTTTTAAGTTGTAGCAAAAAGTTGGCATAATTCTCCACCAAAAGATAAAAAAAAAAGCTGGCATAATTTGCATACCACAAATATGAGCAATCATGCATGTCAGGAGCGCATAAGATGCAATATTAAATGGCACACCCAGGCCCATGTCGGCAGATCGCTGATACATTTGACACGATAACTCCCCATTTGCTACATAGAACTGCAGTAAAAAAAAAGGAAGTATGCAAAACTTTAAGAGACTCTTCTTTTAAAGAAAAACCCAAATATAGCTGCAGACCTGTGCAAACATGTGGCATGGTGGAAGTGCCATCAATTTAAGATCAGATGGATTCCACGCTGAGAGAATGATCCGTCGGTCATCAGGATTATGCTTTATCTTGTTAATAACATCTGAAAGCTGATCAAATCCTTGGCCGGAATAGTCATCATGCATGTTAGTATACCTATAAAATGTAAGATGGGGAATAAAGTGCTAAGCAATCCCACAAAATACAGTCTAATGACTTACAAAGATAAAGGTACAACCCACCTACCTAGCACCAAAGTGCCTCCACTGAAACCCATAAACAGGTCCCAAGTCACCCTCCTCCCTTTCCGCCAAACCAATGCTGTAATATGAATTGTAAAACTCGTTAATAACTGCATGCAGAAGAAAATTTTGCAATTCATGCATTAATTAGTTGATAGTCATGCTTGCCCATCAAGGTATTCTCTGGATGCATTGCCATCCCAGATATGAATGCCTTTCTCCTGCAGCACCTGTGAATATAACAAGTTTTCAGAATAAAATTCAATATAGTCATATCAAATAAACCAATAAGACATTCTTTGTGAACCCAGAAGAAACACCTCATACAATGCAATAGTTTAATTGAATTTTGCTCCAGAAGCATTTATTTTTACAGTACCAAACAAAAACAATGCAACAAACAGGTGCTAACCATGCCATCACCAAACCATTTTATATTGATATTCAATACCATTACAAATAAATCAAAAAAAATTCTGTGTACAAAATAAAGTCAACTCCATGAACTTCCATAAGAACCATCAGGATTCAGGATCTAATATCAAAATTTGACTTGACTTGTGTAATTAACCAGCCTATAAATACAGTGACATATATGAACCAGCAGCTCGTGAGATCAGAGCTTCCTAAGCCTGGCTTTTAACTATTTCACTAAAGAATCAAGAAAAGCTTCAGTAAACTCTTCTTGATCTTGTGAAACATGTGACACATTTTATTTTCTTTATACCTTGACATTCCATCTTAACTAGTAAGACATTAAGAATAAGAGATGTTAATAATTTATTTACTTGTGCATAGATTAGTAAGAATCCAATCATATTATACAATTTTGATCAATAACAATTTTTAAGTTGATTAAAAATTTGAAAACCAAATAAAACTGGGAATACTGAGTTGACCTGGAAACTCTAAAGCTTTCCACAACTCTACCAATATTTAAACCCAAGCTCAAATAATATCAAGCACAGCAACCTCAAGTTCACCAATATTTGGCTCATGTAAGCTAGTTTGAGAACAGTGACTGAACTAGAAAGGTCATATGTGCATGTGTGTGGAAAAGATGGGCAAAATATATCATTACCTTGGCATTCGTTGAGCCACTGATAAACCAAAGAAGTTCTTCAACAACCCCTCGCCAAAATACTTTCTAGGAACCAAATGAAGAAATCATGTCAACTTTTATATCAAACTGTACAATAGATATTTCTTTTCCCCCAATGACATCCGAAGTAACAATCATAAACAATAATTACATCAAAATAACAGGAATAAGAAAAGGAGCACACACATAACAAATTACTATGCACAGAAACTTATACATATCTTAAACCAAAATATATACATGCCTTCGTTGTTAGAAGTGGAAAGCTTCTGCGCAGATTAAACCTCATCTGTGGAATTATGGAGCATGAAGTCAACATATAAATAATAGCAACTCCTCCACAAACCAATCAAAATGTTACCTGGCAACCAAATTTTGACAAGGTACCAGTCCCTGTCCTATCATCCTTAGTTGTACCTTCGGAAATGATTTCTTGAACCAACCTAAGATACTTGTACTCCTCATGTCTCTCAAAAATCATTTTAGGAAGAAAAGAAAATTTCTGGACCTCAAATTTTATAGAGTCTGAACTATTATCAAAAACTGGATCAGTACTCTGACTCGGTGACTCTGCTGCAGAATTCCTTACACGCACATAAGTGATGAAAGAATAGCGGATGTTGTTTTCCACCAAAGGGAATGATGAGTACCATGGATGAAACACAGAAGAATCAATTCGAGGCATAAAAGTGTCACACTCAATGCTTGCCTCAATTTCTGTAATATGGATAGCTTCACATCCAGGTGCATTAAGAGCCTCTCTGTACATGAAAATTATCATCAACAACGAATAAAGAACTTAATATGATTATGAAAGGGTAGAAGTAGAGAAAAAAAAAGTATACATACCTAAATATCTCGCCACCTCCTGTAAGAAATACTTTCTCAATTGACAGGCAGTAAGGAGAAGCAGCCAACAGTTCCATAGCAGAAGACACACTTCCACATATAACAACATTCTCTGCTGTTGCAATATCAAAGCTACCTGAGCGAGTCAGAACAACATTAAGCCGACCACAAAGTGGCCTGCTCTCAGGAGGGATACTCTCCCATGTTTTTCTACCCATTACAACGGCATTCTTCTTTGCAGGATCAGATGTTTTGGTCGTGATCTCCTCAAAAAACTTGAGATCAGTAGGTAATGTCCATGGCAATTTTCCATCCTTAGAAATGCCCATATCTTGGGTTGCAATAACTACTGCTTGGTAAGTCCTTTGCGGATTCGGTTGTGGCTTGACATTGCCGTTCCCATTGCCATTGGAGATTACAAGAGTATCACTGGCCATAATAGAACTTGCACAACGAATTCCTTTGGAAATGCAGTGGAATCTGAACCCAACAAAGTAATAAATTAAAACATAATGAGATGAAATGGATGCAGTCCATAATAAGCTATGAGCAAAACGAGCTCAGGAAGGAAGGAATGAAAATTTGGCATAGCTAATGTGCGGATAAATCATTGACTCTATCTTTTGGCTTCACAACAAAATAAAAGCATCCTCTCCCTCTTTCCCCATCAACTTAAAATAAACTTCTCTAAAATTGTCTACAATAATTCGAAGACTGTAAAACCCAGGTCACTTAAACTAGTATAACAAAAGTTTCTCAAAAACCATTTACCCACTTAAACTAAATTAATCATAAACATAATACTTCACAACCATCTTCCTTACTGTATCACAAAAAACTGGAAAAAGATATATAAACAAAATCATACGAATAAACCACCAAAATGATCGAGAAAAATAGAGAAATTATGAAGCAAACAAATTTATTTTTTTAAATATAATAGCTTACTCATTAACAACCTCCATAGTACCGTCAAATACATGGACCATCTAATATTCATGAACATTGTCTAAAACTCCATAAACAACACATGCAACAGATTCATCCCAAAAAAAAAAAAAGACAATCAAACAAACACACAAAAACAAAACAAAACAAAACAAAACGATAACACTCTCATATTTTGAACAAGGGACTCGCGGATCTAAGAACGAAGGGCGATATTTTGGAAGGGGCTCTGACCTAAAAAATCTTCTGCAAAAGTTCCACGAACTATCTTATGCTCTTCGAACAAAACATAAGGGGGGGTTAATTGAAAGAAAAAAAGTAGCTGAAACTGAAACTCAAGTCTGTCAGAGTGCAGTGTAAATGACGGACTTGAGAATGTGAAAAACCGCTTCCGAATGCTGAGGTTTCGATCCTTTTTTGACAGAGAAAACAATGGAAAGCGAATGAAAAAGAAAAGGAGAAAGAGAAAAGAAAATCAAAACCACAGTTGACGCGAAGTGCCGCCAAGTAGCGTATGTGCGGGTTGTTTTACAGTATACGCTACCGTACAGTAGGTGTCTATACCAATTTCCATATATACCCCTATGTCTCTTTCTATGTCATCCTTTTCCTATTTTCCCCTTCACCAACAAAACTAGTAATGCATTTTATGAAAGCCTTTTTTGTATTTATATACACTCCTCTTGGCTCTTGGTTAATTTCTGATATTTTTGTATGATAATTCTATATGATATTTTTTAAAGATTTGTGACTAGTAGTAAAAGTTTCAGTTTGTTAACACTTAAATAAATTAAATTTATTCATATTTTTATTCTTGTTCTTATTAGCCTAATTATATTAATTGAATCTTAAAATTATAAATAATACATAAAAGAAAAGATGTTCAAAATAATTTTATCTAGTCAATAATTACATTATATATATATATATATATATATATATATTTTATGTTATTTTTTTGAATAAAAATAAAATTATTAAATATATTATATATTTATTAGTGATAATTTTTTAGTGTTTGGAATATAAATTTGTGAAGCATATTCTAATATTTATGTCTAAATTTTTTTAAATTAAATGTGATATTTTAAATTATAGATTCACAACAAAATATAAAAGAAAATATCGAATATATTTTTCTATTTCATATTTCAAAACTTGGTTAAAATAAAAATACTAATTATGAAGTATTCTTTAAAAAATTAGTTAAAACATTAGAAAATAAAAATATTTAATATATTAGAAATTAAAATAATTTAAGTTTACCAAATAAAAAAATTAAAATTTTAATTAAAATAATACATTAAACTTTCATTTATTTAGAAACTTTTGTAATCTTTGTAGTTCTCATTTAGTCATTTACAATCCGCTAAATTTAACGCACTGACTTAATTCTTCAATGAAATGTGAGTGCAATTAATAAATTTGAAATAAAATAAAAATATCTTGATTTAATCTATTTTGACACGTGTTAGTCTATAATGATTTAAGTTAAATAAAAAATCTAAGAATATCATAATTAATTATTGTAATTTTAAAAATATTTTATTGTTTTTTGAAAAAGTACTCATACATTTCAATCGAGTAACTAGTTTATTACTCGTTGAATGCAACGAAGAAAAAAAAAGTCGATTTCAATCCAAATCATTGTAACGTGCTGAAGATGGAAGATTTTCATATTTTAAAAAATCCAAATTATTGTATGAATTATACGTGAAAAAACTTTATATAGAATGACTCTGAATTATAATATAGTTTAGATTTAAATTTAAAATTTAAAATTTAAAATTAGAATTTAAATTAATTATGTTGCACCATAGATCAAATCCTACTTGGCTCGTGACGCATATAATTTAAATTTTTTAAAAAACTTGATAGAAAGTTTACACTTTTTAAATGAATCTAAATCATTGTATGAATTAATGTGGCAAAATTTTTCACATAATGACTGCGAATTATAATATAGTATACATATATATTCAAAATTAAAATTCAAATTAATTTTTTAATTTAACATTTAAATTAATTAGTTTTACCATTGATCAAGTCTAACTTAGCCAATGACACATATAATTTAATTTTAAAAAAAACTTAGATTAAGATGAAAATTTTACACTTTTCAAAAGAATCCAAATGAATATATGAATTACACGTAGCAAAACTTTCCACATAATGAATTTGAACTATAATATAGTATAGATAGATTCAAATTTTAAATTAGAAATTTAAATTTTAAATTAAATTTTAAATTAATTTAATATTTAAGTTAATTAGGTTGCACTATAGATTAAGTTCCATTTGGCCCATGTCGCATATAATTTAAATTTTTTAAAAAACTTGCTTAAGATGGAAAGTTTATTCTTTTCAAAAGAATCCAAATAATTGTATGAATTATACATGGCAAAATAGAGGCGTCAATATAGGTTGAACTTGACGAGTCAACCAGCCAAAATGGGACGGGTTGGGTTACACCTTTCAACCCATCAACCCGCCCCATTTAGTTGTAGGTCAAAATGGGTTGGTGGCGGGTCGGGTGGATTGGCCCGCGGGTTAGTTTTTTTGTATTATTATTATTAGGCAGTATTTTATTTGTCACTAACTTTTATGATATATTTTTTTTTTTAGTACTCCCCTAGAAAATAAAGAAGAAACATATTATTTATGACAAAGGTTATCCACATATAAAGAGAAAAATAAGTTTGTAAAAAATATCTGACTAAATATTAACTTATATTTAGGCTCGGGATTGAAAAAAAAAATAAGGTAGTGTTTGGTAGAAGATTTATTTTGGGATTGATGGGAAAGTGTAAGTGGATATTGGAAAATACTACGTTTGGTTCAGGTTTTTGAAAAAAATACTAGGCAAATAGGATAGATGGAGAAATGACTTTTATGTTGATTTTTGGATGAAATTCACTGTTACAGAATACCACTTGAGATGTGGTATTTTGAGATAACTTGAGAAGTGAAAAAACAGGTGCAAAGTTTTTTCCGAACATAGATTTTGCAAATTTAAATAAATTTCCCTGGTAATATTTCAGTCAACCAAACAATTTTTTTACATTTTTCTATCAAACTCACTTTCCAACCATTTCCTTAGTAATTACATTTTCTTAGTATTCAAAAAATTTCTCCTCAACCAAACGTCCCATGGGAGTGTGAAATAAAAATAAATAATATTATAAAATTAATAAAATATAATTTATTACTATTTTTAATTATTTTTTGGTTTTTAAATGGGTCAACCCGTCAACCCGTCAACCCAGCCCGCTCCGCTTTTGGCGGGTCAGAGCGAGTTAGCCCGTTTTGTCACCTCTATGACAAAACATTTCAAACTCTGAATTATAATATAGTACATATAATTAATTTTAAAATTTTCAATCCAAATCAATTTATCTCTTTGCATACGAGTTAATTACTCTTATTATATAAATAAATTAAAAATAACTTGTCAATTCGAATAGCCTATACTCACATAAGATCGGTTTAGGCCAATAATTTGCTAATACAAATTATATTTGATCTACTGCGGGTCGACTCTTATCTGTTTCAGTCTCTAATAACACATCTTAAGTTATGTATGGATTAGCGAAAGTGAATGAAATACAGGGGAATAAAATAAAAAGGACATGCAGTTTCCAAAAATAAAAATAAAAATAAAAACGACATTTGTTCTCATTATTATTGTGATTTAGATACTTATTTTGAGAAACTCAATACATTAAAGGGTGAAGTTAAATCTAAAAACTTAAATTTTTAACAAAAAAAAATCTAAAAAATTTAATATAGGAAGGATAAACGCGGAAAAGAGGATTTCTAGAAAAACATTTCCTATTTATACTGGAATCATCTCGATCAAATCACCTGAATCAATTCTTATGCGCGAATAAACCATCTCATATAAAATTATTTTATAACTCCATTAAAACAATCTCAATCATTCATGAACAGATCAATAATACTCCGTCTGACACTAAACCAACTACTAGTTAGTAGTTAAGCACATATTTGCAAGATATTCTTTTGCAGTACATTTTTGAAAATTCCAGCCATTAAGTAGTTTTCACGTCAAAATTGAAAGTAGGGTACATGTTTCCGTCATTTCATCAAGTATTCAATATTCTATTTCCAACTCTACATGTTCATTTTTCATTCTAGACAAGAAGTAACTTCAATCTTCTTTATTCCATAACCAGAACAGTTTAGACGTACTTTAGAGATATGTCATTGTTGTTCTACAGTAACACTTGGGAGAAAACATATTATTCCACTGTAAGTTGTTCTCAATCTCATGCAGTGAGTGAGCAGAAAAGTGCAAAGGCGTTGTCCTTTTCTTTCTTTTTTCCAGAAAAATTCATAGCTTCACCATTCTAACAAAACTAAATGATTACTATTAGATCCTCTCACGCTCTATACAATACACCCCTGTAAATTTGGTTCTCTAGAATGAGAGATATACTTATAGAGTAAAATATACGAACTTATAATTGAAAAAATAATAGACGAAATATTAATAATTATATAATATATTATATATGAACGTATATTTTATTACAATCTCAACTGTCGATTTTTAATTAATAACTATGACTATGAATTTTTTGACCAGTGATATTTTGTTTTTAATTTCTCAACAACTACCCTTAGGGCACTCAGAACCTATTTATTAAACTTATTGGCATTTTAATCATTTACATTTTTACTCATTCAATGAAAAAAATAAAATATAAGAGTTTGATTTTTATAAAGAAAAATAATATTTGAGTTTCGTTTTAATGAAGAGAGAGAATATAACCTTTTTTTGTGAATAGAATATAACTCTATTATTAACTCCACTCATTATTATTAATTTTTAATTAAATATTTGATTTGTATTAAAATCATGCAAATGATATTTAATATATATAAATTAGGTATCAATTGAAAATGTTATTTTTTATTACATTTCAGTTTTTTGGTTACATAATATGTTATGAATTATGTATTAATTTTTAATTGATAAATATTTTATTATTTTATATAGTGTAATTTTAAAATTTATTTAATGAATAAATTATATACATATTAAATGTATTAATTATTCCAATAAAATTCTTAAACTAAAATTTAATAATAATGATGGAGTTAATAATAGAATCATATTAGGGTTAATCTTTCTCTGGTTACTATAAATAAGTTATCTCTAAGATCACCCGTTTTAGGATTGGAAAAATTAATAAAATCCTAAAATAAATTAGAGCTTCTTTCTCCTTTCTCCCGCACTTAAAATAATGTTATTTTGGGATCAAAGAAGATAATACTATCTCTTTTAATTAAAACATAGCAAAAGTATTTCCTCTATACTTTTTTC